AAGCTTTTCAACGGTTATAAACGAAAAATCAAGATTTAACGGTTATTTTAACTCCGATTTTGATGATTTTTTACACCTACACTCCTTGACCCTCTATGAATACAATGAATGAATTCGATCTTCAATTTAAAATATTTACACAAGTGGATACCACAAAATCTTATGTTATACTTAATGAAAGTATAAATAAACTCTAAGTGTTAGTCAATCTATCGTTTTGATGGGATACGAATTCTCCAAAACTAATTTCAACGATCCAAACCATCAAACTTGTTTGTATATGCTTGGAGATCACATCAGTAAAAAATCACAAAAAAAAAAAAAACATTCAGAGATCAAGTAATGGGACAAAACTTTTCAACGGTTATAAACGAAAAATCAAGATTTAACGGTTATTTTAACTCCGATTTTGATGATTTTTTACAGCTGCACTCCTTGACCCTTTATGAATACAATGAATAAATTCGATCTTCAATTTAAAATATTTACACAAGTGGATACCACAAAATCTTATGTTATACTTAATGAACGTATAAATAAACTCTAAGTGTTAGTCAATCTATCGTTTTGATGAGATACGAATTCTCCAAAACTAATTTCAACGATCCAAACCGTAACACTTGTTTGTATATGCTTAGAGATCACATCAGCAAAAAATCACAAAAAACAAATATTCAGAGATCAAGTAACGGGATAAAACTTTTCGACGGTTATAAACGAAAAATCAAGATTTAACGGTTATTTTAACTCCGATTTTGATGATTTTTTTACACCTACACTCCTTGATCCTCTATGAATACAATGAATGAATTCGATCTTCAATTTAAAATATTTACACTAGTGATGTGGATATCACAAAATCTTATGTTATAATTTATATACTTGATAAAAGTACGAATCAACTATAATATTAATAATTATATACATTAAATTAAGAATTTTATATCCCTAAAAAGTAAAAACTATAATAATTATATAATATAATTATATAATAAAAGTATGAATCGGCTGAGATTAAATCTCAGCCGTCCATTTCATAATTATATATATATATATATATATATATTTTTTTTTTTTTATTAAATTTAAAAAATTGATAACCATTGGATCGAATGAGATTTAATCTCAACCGTCCATTGTGTAGGCTATTACTCTTCTCTTCTCTCTCATTAACTCAGCTGAAAATTCAAATCACTCTCTGTCTGTCTCTCTCTCTCTCGAATCCTCGATCGACTTCGTCTTCGACTCCGAGACCCCATGCCGTCACGCGGACGCGGCGCCTCACGGGCCCTCTCACCTCACCTCAGTCTCAGATCAGTGACCTCACTCTCCTCGTCGTCCTTGAGTGTAGATATAGTACTTGAACGAGAAATGTTTTAATGTTTTGAAGTAGTATTTATGTGGCAATGTGTGGTATGTGTAAATTTTAAAAAAATATTTTTTTTTCTTAACGGGTCATAACGGGTCGGGTCACTTTACCTGTTGGGTAAAGTGACACGACCTGTTAAGGACCCGTTAAGATAACGGGTGTGACACGACACGATCTGTTAAAATAACAGATGTTACACGAAAGGGATACGAACACGATAGACACAACCCATTTGCCAGACCTACTTTCAAGTAATATAACTAACTAAATTAGGATCGTAAGTTTGCACCACTTACTAATTTACCAAGATATTTCTTATTTTCTTACATACTGTATATTAATTGGAACCTTTATAAATCCTCTATAATGTATTATCTTATAAACTTAGTGAATTACTAATTTTGCACGTTATCATCAAGTCGGAACCGGTCAAAAATATTATTTAATTAATTTGTCAAGTATTAAATTATCGAGGTTTTATTGTAGCCTAATTAATTGAATGGATTATTATAGAAGGAGGTTTTTTTTCCTTAATTTAAACACATGTAACCACTTAGTACTAAGGTCTAGTGATATTCCTCTTCACTTCACCTGTAAGAGATGTTTTAGGTTCGATTCTCGTCAAAGATAAATTTGAACTATATTATTGCTAATCCTTGTGAGGTTAAGCCCACTCCCTTAGTGGATTCAAAGATAAAAATAAATAAATAAATAACACACAACATTTAAACGACAGACTTGCAAAAAAAAAAAAAAAAAAAAAACATTTATCTGTTCATATGGGTCAAGTTTCCCATCTAGCCTAGCTCTCCCAATTCAGGAAGACGGAAATCACCGGTTGGCTGATGCCGCTCATCCATCCATGAAGGGCACGGGGCATTCCTTGCTCTGTCAGGTTCTAAGTACGTAGTGTCTCGCCCGCTCCCAATGGATGCAGGTACAAGTGCCTCGGCGACTCAGACACGCGGAAAGTCGTCTCACTGAGCTTTTGTACTGCTTCAATCATCACAGAAGAGCAGTTTTAGAAAATGACGCATAGCGAATGGGACAGAGGACCAGGCAGCTCACATGTTGATCTCCTATGTCTCAATACTTTCGTCTGAAGGTGCCTCTGGCATTCCGCTGCACATGCCGGAGGAATAACTGCTCGTGCCTAAACATCCAGAGTCGGCGAGTCCTTACCATCTCCCCAAGGGACATGGGTGGTGAAAAGCTTTGAAGGATTCTGTTAAACCTAGATTTCATACTCCTTAGTCCTTACTGACAAAGAAGAAGAATAGAGTCAAATATACGTACAAATTTATATCTTCGACGATATGAATACAAAATCAGAGTTCGGAATTCAACATAGGGATGGGAAACAAAAAAATATTTGATCGATCATTTTGGCACATCCTCTGTTCATGCCAATGCCATATAAAGCTAAGACTTTCTTGAACACAAACTTGTAGGATAAGCAAAGTTAGGATTTCAACTAAATCATGTTAATTACATTATGACACAGAAAAATGCAGGTTTCGCTGAGATTAATTTTGAGGAAATTAAGAATTACAAGCATGAAAAACTCAACTATGATTTTAAGATGATAGTCCACTAAATTGAATATATCGTGCGCAGAGAAGTGATCTGTTATCTGCCAGTTGTGGCAAGTTAGTGATAGACAAACCAAAAACCAGAAAGATAAAGACTTGTTATGTGGCAACGATGATGGTGGATATGTAATGAAAGCAATATGGGGCTAGGATTCATAAGGCAGGCGGGGCAAAAGCGAGAGCAGGTTAAGGGATGCATGAATAGACCAAAGTGTTGCCACAAAAATTCAGTTTCCAGTAACCGGACAATGGCATAATCTCTAGTTACATAATCAAAATCATTCGCCAAAAGACAAATCATGCATTTCAATCAATACTTATCCACAAAAACTCAACTATGATTTTAAGATGATAGTCCACTAAATTGAATATATCGTGTGCAGAGAAGTGATCTGTTATCTGCCAGTTGTGGCAAGTTGGTGATAGACAAACCAAAAACCAGAAAGATAAATACTTGTTATGTGGCAAAGATGATGGTGGATATGTAATGAAAGCAATATGGGGTTAGCATTCATAAGGCAGGCGGGGCAAAGCGACAGCAGGTTAAGGGATGCATGCCACAAAAATTCAGTTTCCAGTAACTGGACGACGGCATAATCTCTAGTTACATAATCAAAATCATTGGCCTTTCAACCAAAAAAAAAAAAAGAAAAATCAAAATCATTGGCCAAAAGACAAATCATGCATTTCAATCAATACTTATCCACAAAAACAGCATGAACAAAATAATTCCATCTTAAAAGGACAATTTCAAAGTGTGCAGAAGATAAGAAACTCATTTCACCATAAAAGGAAAACACTGGAGAGGGAGAAGGGAAGACTTGCCACAGTCAAAGGGATTTCCACTGTCATCTTTCCCATCTCCTCTAAATATCTGCAAACAAACCAAATCTTTTTAACCAAACCAACCCCAAAAGTCAGAAATAAAACTATGTGAATCTCTAATAATAAATCAGCAAAAAGATCAAATGGGTATACAGTGAAATGGATATGCCACGAGACGATAAAACAGTCCATTTCACTTTAGTTAGGGACATCAGGACTGCCATTTTTTTTCCGTCTGCATGTTAATTGACTAGCTAGCTGGATCTCAGATAAACCTTCTTCAACAAGCCTAGAGTTTCCATTTTCTCTACGACTTACAGCACTTCTAAGTTCTAACAGCCAGTGTCATAAGAACTTAACATATTTACTGCAAATTTTCAATTTTTTTAATAAGATCATGGACCAAAATGTAGACAACGAAAGAAAGGAACCATTACCCAATTAAATATTTACATAGATCATCCTCTAATTGACAGAATTGAAATTTAAGGAGTGAATGATGGAAAAATTTAAAATCAACAGCAAACCCTTAAAACTGATGAATGCTGCTAGCCTAATGAGTGCAACTGTGCAACAGCCAGAAAGAAAACATCAAAACAGAACCGAACCAGCAATAATATCAAATCCTCACCTGTCCGGACAAACATAGTCCAAAGATCTATTAATATTCACTTCAATGTTCCAACTTGAACCGCTCAGCCTCAATCAACTTCAACTTCAACTTCAGAATGCAGCAGCCAAACTCAAAATTAAACCAAAACAAAACCATCTGGAGCTACTCCAATTTGATAAGAAATCATTACCTACATTATTTAATCTATCTCCTCCACTGCCAAGCTTTTTATGCATCATCTTCATCGTAAATAGTAATAGGATTCTCTTCAACCTTGCGTCCTTGTAATGATATGGGTCACGATTTTGCCGGAGAAATGGTCGTACGCCCATTGCAAAAGAAAGAGAGCAGTTTTTGGCCTCTTTTAGGCTTGAAAGAACAGATGTTTTAGTGGTCCTGGGTTGTATCTGTGGCATATATATTTTAAGGACTCGTTTGCATTTGGCTAAAAACCAAGTTATATATCCAGATGCGGGCTTATTATATCCTACGTCGCACCTCCATAAAACCAATTCTCTATTGGATGAAAGGGCTTATTTTTCAGACAGGTAACATTGTGCGACTGACTTCTTTACTAAGTAAGAAAATTGCAGCATAAACAGGCTATAAACTGGCAACTTTACTCCTTTCAGACAAAAAAACCCTTCACAATCCACCTTCTGCGTACTGTAGCTAATGAATAACAGACATTACACAAATGTACCTGGACAAGGCCCAAGCAAACAAAAAAGTACGAATGCCTAATCCACATTCTTCGCCCTTGTTACTTCCCAGGGCAAGCCTCTGTATCCCAATCATGTAAATCACCTTTTTTGATAAATCAATCAGAAACATTTCTGCACCAATATAACACCGAACCCAAATCATGATTAGTTACCCACATACTTTTATATCGGATGTGATTGAAAACGCGAAGTATTCATTGAGCTCTTTGAATTCTCAGGAAGATGGATTGAAGCACCGAACACTGCCATTTTCTCGGTCAAGTTCTTGAGGGCCTCATGCTTGTTTGCCAGTTCCATAAGAACCTTGATCCTTCTGAAGGAAACGCTACTAGGCTTTTGCCCCTTTTCAACCATCTGCAAGAAGCACCTCTCTGCTTCCACTAGTTTTCCCAAATCACAAAGCAAATCAAACAGCACATCAGATACCAATATATAAGAACCGAAACCCTTCTCAATCATATCATTCCACAGCCGCAATGCCATATCCACCTTTTCCTGTCTCCGAAACAACCTGATCAGGAACATACAAGACTGTGTACTTGGTAAGCACCCAGCATGCATCATTCTCCCATACAAACTCCAAGAGCTTTGTAAGTCATTTGACCAGAAGAAAACCCTAAAGAACAAATTGTAAGTAGTTGCATTCGGACTCAAACCCTTACTCGCCATTGCATCCATCAACCCAGAAGCATCGCCAAGCCTCTTCGCGATGCAAAAATTCCTAATGGCCGCATTGTATGCAGCAGCATCTGGGTAGCACCCATACTCCGTCATTTCTTTCAATAGATCTCTGGCTTTATCGGGCTGACCAACCAACCCCAATCCACCAATGATACTAGTATAGGTGATCACATCAGGTGATATACCCTGTTCACGCATTTCCTCTACAATCTTAAACGCCTTGTCTACTTCTCTATTCTTACAATAAACATCAACCACACAATTGTAGGAAACGACATCAGGTTTCACACCCATCTCCCTCATCTCCTCAAAGAACCCCTCAGCTTCCTCGGATGTCTTCCACCCGGACAGCAGTATATTGAAAGTCTGCAAATTCGGCTTAAAATTATGCTTGAGACTGTGATACACGTTCCTAGCATCCGCCATACTCTTCTCCTGACAAAGAGTCCTCAACAAGGAATTGAAACACATTGTATCGAATTCAGGCACGAGCTTCTTGAACTTCCTAAAAGACTCAACGGTTTGCCTAACGGAGCAAACCTTAGCGATTCTAGCTAACACAACCATTACAGTGCGCGGGGTTATCAAATTTCGATCCTTATACTTAGTGTCAACTAAGACCTCCCAAGTTTTGTCGAACATTCGACTTCGTCCTAGAATGTAAAGCATTGTGTCCAAGGAAAACTGAGTGTGGTAAAACCCTCTTCTGTTGCCGGTGTAATTGAAAAATTCCAATGCCTGTGAAGGGTTTCCATGGCTGAACCGAACCCGTTTGAGAACCTTATCAATCAAATCATTGGAGAGAAAAACCCCACTCGAATTCAATGCCTGTTTCAAGTTTTTGGAACCAGTGGGGCAAGGGCAACTGAGTATGCGATAAACGGTCTCGACGTCGGCGGCGGTGGTTGAGCTGCCGCTTTCAGAGCAGAGAGAGCGAGAGAGAGACAAGACTAAAGGTGGGTACTTTCGGTTTTGCGAGGAGACGTACCTGAATAATGCCATCGTTCGACTTCCCTTGAAACGGCGCTGAACTGATTCAACCACCCACCCCCCACATCCGCGAGGAAGACGACTGAGCTAGCAGAATGTCGAGCTGTGTATGCTGGAAAGGAAGAGAAGCTCAGCCTCATGGACTCATTTATATGAAGGTTGTAAACGGAAGTCGGACAGGGAAGAGATGGAGAAAATGATACAAATCAGACGGAACAGAGACGCAGTGAGAGGGAAAAGGGTTTGCGTTCTGGACCTGGGCGCGCGGGGCTACAGTGATGGGCTTCTATATGGGGGTTCCTTTAACACCCGTCAGATTCATCTGACGGTCTAAGTTTGTTCACGTTATTCAGGTTGGTAAAGGTTAGGAATAAATCAAACTCATATTGTATTCAATTGAGTTTATGCCTTGGTCCAATTACCTTTTGATTTCGATCTCTTTTTTGGTAGAAACTGGGTCACTCTCTCAACAGCACAGAACTCTGCATCTGATGTTACTTTCGACTGGGATACGAAGATTGAAGTCCCGAGAGCATTCATAATTAGAAATGAGTATTATAGTGAGTTCTACTTGAAATCTGTTACACGTGAAGATGTTCCTGACACGAATCTACTTTGCAATTCATGAATCTACCATGCTAAAATGTACAAAATGACCGTGTTTTCTTTGCTAACAAGGTAAACAAATTGTGGGATGAAAGCATGCAGTTCTAACTTCAAATCCAATTTAAGAATCACTGTAAATTTTCGCAACGACCTACTCATTTAGTTGTATCTCATGCAAAAAATACTAAATGACCGTCCTTTCAATTGCTTGCCAGTTCACGATAATTAGCGCAAAGAGTAGCAAATTGATTCATGTACTTTGTGCAGACATATCTTTTAGCTAATACATCACGGCCACTAAAGAAATTTAGAAGCTCGATAACTTGAGAGGAGGTAAGAGAGCTCAAGGAATGGGACATGGTCCTCCAACTCTCTCTCTCTAAAAAGAGTCTTGCTTGCCAAGCACCACATGAATTCCTAATCACATCGCCAACTCTAGTAAAATTAAGTGGTCCTTTCCTACACCCATCCACATTCACTTTAAGCCAATCATCTGGAGGGGGATCCCAATGGAGGAAGGAAAGTAAGAGTTCTGGAGGTTTGTTGAGTAGTAGCCATATTACCCTGAAGCTATTCACAACCAGTAGCGCATAATAAAAGCTTTGGGGTTGCTTGGAATAACAAAATCTCAATAAAAAATACTCTTATTTCGCCAATGCCAAATAAACCAACATGATAGCAAGCACCAACCGCATTTCAAAAATCACGAATAACAATTTTTTATGTCATGTTCTTACGGATCAAAATAGAGAAGTTTATGGGTCCATAAAAAGGAGGGACGAATAGGCTTTGCCATGCCTTATAAGCAATAGCGCAATCCCTAAAAATATGAGTCCAAATCATAGCATCGTTCTGCAACGTTTTCCAAGCATTCTTTGCAAGAAGAGCCGAGTTCATCGTTTGCATTTGTGACTAGTAACTTAACAGTTTGCATGAAATAAACTGGCATAGATGACGTGACGGATTGAATCAAAGTAGTTCTACCAGCTAAGGAGCGCGAATGAGTTTTTTCTATAATTAAAGAAGAAAAATATGGTTATGATGAGTATTTTAGAGTGCTAATAACAATTTCATTTTAATAACCTGCACAATTTCATTAATTAATTGAAAAATATAATTCATCTATTTATGTATGATCTTAAAAACTAAACGATCAAATCATCTATTTGCTGAGATATTAACCTAATCAATAATCGATTCAAATCCTCACGTTTCCGTTATAAAAAAGCTAACGTCCAAATGGACATGTGGTAGGATTCCACCCACATTCCACGTAAGTTCTTTTCCACCACCACTTCCACTCCATAAAAGGAGAGGGGCGACGATGTGGGACAGTTTGATATTTTTGGAGGGGAGTTGCAGGGCTGACTTTTAAGCCCCTGTTGAGTCTTTGTATTCATTCATTCCAGAATCCAGTAAAAAGGGCCAAGGGCAAGATCAGGTGGCAGGCGACTCGAATTCTGATGTCTGCTGCTCAACCAGCACCTCCCACAAATTGGGAAACTTCAATCTTTCTCATAGGTACCTAGAACTTTCCAAATCGTATTTGTTTATTTTTCTAAATTTCTATGTCGGGCTTCTTATGAGATAGGTGTGTTTTATAATTTGACTCAATTAAAAAAAAAAAAAAAACTTAGTTTGGACCTACCATTTTATTTTATTTAATTCAAGCGATAATTTAATTTAATGTAAATTATGAACAATTTAATTTAATGTAAATTATGAACGGAAGATCCGAACTTGAGTGCAAAGAGTAACTAGCCAATTTGGCTACATCGGATCTGCAGATGGCTATTGGCTAACAAGAAGTAAAAAAGATATGAAATTACTAATTACCTATAATCAAGTTTAGTGCACTGTGTAGTTTATTCATGGATATGTTTTCAATTATGATTTACAAGTAAAAAGAATGATTTCTTGCAGGAAAGGAGCCAAACCGTATTCTTGTAACTATATCTTTGTTTATAAAATAATACAAATTTTACACACTAAAATAAACACAAAAGAGTTTAAGTACATAAATTAATTAATTGTTGATATAAAATAGTACAAATTCAAATAGTTTACAATTCGGCTTTTTATTTCACATATTTTCCTTCGTTTTTCTTAATTCCTTCTTTCTCCTTCGTTTCTCCTTTTTAACTAAGAAACAAAAACTAAAAGGCGAAACTGTTACCAAACGAGCGTTAGCAAACTATGTTTGTTGCTTGTGTTTATGGTTTATTATTTGGTTTTCCTCTTTAGAATTGTGTTCTCACTGTTAGCATACGGTAAACGGATAAAGTTCCCCGGTAACATTCTGTCTTGCATTACTTTGTATGATTGACAATTTTGTTATTCCTTGCCAAAATTGTTTTAGCACCATTGACCAGACAGAGATCATACAACAATGTTGCTCAACCACATTCTATCTTATATTACTCTCAGAGAACGTCGAACGGGGGTCTTCTCATAGCTGAAGCCACTGCAGTTTCCAGCACAGCTCTAGGGTAATTTAACAAGAGTAGCTTTATAGACTAACATACATTTGGCGGTGCTTCTTTCGTTTCAAAGTTTGATGACATTCTTGTTTCTTTAATATTCGAAGGTACCCGCGAACACACATGGTATATGGACAAGGGAGCAAGTTGAAGCATGGAGACCCATTGTTGACGCTGTTCATGCCAAAGGTGGCGTTTTCTTCTGCCAGATTTGGCATGCTGGGAGGGTTTCTAATACCGGTGCGTTTCTCACTTTTACGGTTTTACCATGGAATGCTTTGTCAACATGAGTGAATAATTAATAAACCGTTGACGAAGTTTGATGTATAACATAATGGTGTACGCATCGGAACGCGCGAGTGATTATCCTGACACTTCTCTGCTTATATTTTTTCTTCGAAAAAATGGTGCAACTCTTAATTGTATAGTAATTCGCAACAAGGGATTCCAAGTCGAAAGAGTATGCTGCTGTGGATGTTGGATACTTTCTTTAGACTTCAAGTTGTGATTCTATCTCTCCTTGCTTACAGGTTATCAACCAAATGGGCAAGCTCCAATATCTTCTACTGACAAGCCAATAAGATTAAATGACATTGATGTTTCTGAATTCACACCTCCAAGACGATTAAGGACCGATGAAATTGCACAAGTTGTCAATGATTTTAGACTTGCTGCGAAGAATTCTATTGAAGCTGGTAATTTCTCTTCACGTTTAATAAGAAATAGATTTTACAACAACTCAATTTGCTTCAAACTTATGCAAAACAAACCATATTTGAACAGAGAAATGTAGTAAGATATGGGAGGGGGATTCAAATTTCAAACTCTGGCCTTCAGGATGGAGTAAAAAGCTCACTGCCATCAGAGCTGCAAGCTCCCTCACGCCTGTTCTTTGAACTGCATGTTAACTAACCATTATTTACTTGGGAACTCAGCGACAATGCTTAAGATTCTAATACCATTGGTATGCTGAAATTGTTTATCTGCTATTTAGGCTTCGATGGAGTTGAAATTCATGGGGCGCATGGCTACCTTCTCGATCAGTTCATGAAGGATCATGTGAATGATCGAACAGACCAATATGGTGGATTTCTAGAGAATCGTTGCCGCTTTCCACTGGAAGTTGTCGAAGCTGTTGTTAACAAAATAGGAGCAGATAAAGTTGGAATTAGATTATCTCCAGTTGCGGACTGTATGGACTCAGGGGATTCAAATCCAAAAGAATTAGGCCTCCATATGGCCAATGCCTTGAACAAATATGGATTGGCGTACTGCCACATGGTTGAGCCGAGAATGAAGACAGTCTTCTTCCCATGAGAAAGGCTTTCCGCGGTACCTGCATTGCTGCGGGTGGTTAAGACAGGGAAGATGGGAACAATGCTGTGGCCGAGGGTCGTGCAGATCTTATTGCTTATGGTCGTATTTTCTTGGCGAATCCAGACTTACCGAAGAGATTTGAGCTTAACATTCCTCTAAACAAGTACAAAAGAGATACATTCTGTTGGAGTTTGTGGCCAAGTGGACAAATGTCCAAAATAACTTTCGGCTAAAGAAAGAAAGTTGGAATACATTTCCTTGTTTTGGGGAAGAAAAAAGGGAAAAGTAAAAGGGAAAAGTTTGGTTGTCTTCAACACCCGTGAGAGCTCTTTTTCGGTTTATAGGGAGAGTTGTAGAGAGAGAGGTAAAGTTGAAGAGAGCAAACGGAAGAAGAGATGTAGAGCATCCAAGGGGGAGAGCATTCGGCTCTCCCATGAAAAAGGTTGAACATGGGTTGAGAGAAAATCAAGAGAGCTAGAGTGAAAAGTATTCTAGTGAAAGAACTCTTGGGGTAGAGTGAGGCTCTTGGGAAAATTCTGTGAGTGGGTGTATAAGGGATATGAGATTGGGTTATGTCGATTTAACTCATGTATACTTGTACTGTTATTCTCATAGTGAAGAGCAATATCTCTCCGAGGACGTAGACAGTTTTTTTGCCGAACCTCGTAAATTTCTCTGTGTCTTTATTTCTTGTACTTTATTTTGTTCAACTGTGTGTGAAATTTGGTGAGGTTGTAATCTGAATCTCGGTTCTGCACTGACGAACGGGCCAAGGCACAACACATTCTACATATTTGATCCGGTCATTGATTATCCATTTCTTGAAGCCACTACTTAAGCTTACAGCAAAGCTTGAACGGTAGAGCTCGCTTGGTACACCGGATCGGTCTGTACTATTACAGTTGGATTGTTTTTGCACTGAATTGTAGTATTGCATTATTTAGTATTGTGTTGTCCAAGGTTTGGGAGGGTTCCGGACTAGAGAGGTCGGAAAAGTTTTACTCTTTGTTCACTGTTGTACCCTACACAATAGAGGTTGGTTTAAAAAAGTGAAAAACCGAACCAAATTACTTTAGTCTAAAGTAGGAGGGGAAATCGCACTATTCATATGAACAGTGTTTTGGACCACATTTCAGTTTATTTACGAAGCTGCCACTGTCTCTCTCTGCCGCTGATCTTGATGCCGTGTGTTGATGATCGTGGAAAGGCAGGGTGCGATCGTCACTTTACCATTCTCTTCCTCCCCTCTTTCTCCCTCAGATCCCATTCTCTTCATCATTCTCTTTCTCTCTCCTTCAGTTTCAATCTGCTCACCTAAAATCCCCAGATCGAACATCATCCATCTCAAATAAAAAAAACCTTCCCCCTTTAAAACCTATGGAATCAGCACTCATGGAATAATCATGGATTTTTGTTTAGGTAATTTGATTTTTTCCTCTTCTGTAATTTGTTTTTGTTAGTTTAGTGTTCCTGAATTTTAATTTTTCTGTTTTCTGACTTGGAAGAGTCAACCTTCAGGTGATAAAATCATGATGTCACCATCACATCTCAAAACGATGAAATCGCACAGGGCTTTGTTGATTTCTGTCAACTCCGACCACGACCAGTGTCGGGTAAGCTATCAACTACCCCCTCTTCATCTTCTTTTTCTTCTTCTGCTTCTCCATGCGCATTCCAGTTTGACTGTTTGTGTTTTGGATGCATCTTGATTTCCTTAGTATGTTTAGACGGTTCGGATGCGCCTAATAAACCAACCTAATTTGCCTCGCGCGTTTAGTCATCTCCTTCCTTCGTCTATAACCTCACGCAGAGACAGAGTTCCCCCAAAACCCTAAACGCCCAAAGGTAATTTTGTTTAATTTTTCAATTAGTTTTATTATCTGGCGAATCCCTAGCATAAATTCATTCTTTTTCTACTCTAAATGCATATAATTTTTTGTTTTAATTTTTTGTAGTATTGATCACAAAGCTACGGAGCTGAAATTGCAAACGTTATCCATGGCTCGCTTCAAAAATGTAAGCTTGAAATTTTTAGGTTCTGTTTGGTTGTTGAGAAAACTGAATCAAAGAGGGTTTCTTTTTTTGTTAATTTCTCGAAAACGTAGTTGATTGTTGTGTTTCTGAAAATTTGAAAATAGAAGAAGAAGGTGTTTGTGAAGTTGGTTTCGACGAAATGATGTTTGATATGGTTAAACATATATATTCAAGATTTTGATCTCTGTGTGATTTGGCAATACTACTTTTCACCTAATATTCCTCTCTCTCTCTCTCTCTCTCTCTCTCTCTCTCTCATGAAGTCGCTGATTGCATTAAAAAAAAGGTTCCCAGTTAATCAAGTATAGCCGGAAAGGGAAGCCAAAACTTTGTCCATTCAAAATTTCTACTATGAGTAATTTCCTTTACATTAGGATATTGGATTCATTTCATACTAATAAGTTTTTTATCTTACATCTTCTTCCAGCAGCGTATCTCCACGATCATTACTAGATATCTTAACCGCTTGAATGGCTTCATTTTTCGTATCTTTAACAGGATGAAACCACACTAATCTGGTTTAGGGATTTAGGGTTTTTGAGTTAGTTTTTGTGAAGGTCATTTTTTGATTTTAGGCACACTATAATCGATTACGGGCTTTGGGATCCTAAACACTTTGAAATGGTTTCCAGAAAAGACATCTTTCTAAAGGCGAGTAGTGACACTGTAAATTTCCTCAACCAATCTTCATTGGAATTTTCTCCGTCATCCTATATATTGCAGCATTAACACATTTGATAACAAATTTTCAGTTTCTGGCCACTTAAGATGGCAGGAAAATGGACACAATAAATTATCCATGGTCTTTATCATAGCTGAAAATTGGAAAGTGCCTGAAATTATTAGTTATTAAACTCTTCCTTTTTGTTTGAAATGCAGGTGGTGTTGGACAAATGGGATAAAAGAAATGGTTGTTGACTGGAAAGTTATCTGAAAATAATGGAAAGAAAATTTTCTGCATCGTTATTCTTTAATTGTATGATAATGTTTTCAATGTTTTAGATTACATTGATTTGTATTATTTTAAAGAATATATAAAGATTAGTTTATAGGTGTATGCACTTAATATTGGATATATGGTATTTTTCAGGTTATTTGACATACAATTGCATATAATCTCAATTTTCTCCTGCAGATTTTATCTGAGCTTCGGAATCGTTGAAAAATTTGTCTAAATAGTAAATTAATTGAAATGGTTATTAGTAATAAATGAGGTGTTTACTATGTTTTTTTGGTGTGTACAGAGCCAATGGTATGTTGCTAACGAAGGCAAAAACAAGATGCAGTTTGCTGCATATAGAAAACGGAGGTTAGTTTGATTCCAACTCCTTTTTTCAGTTTATTTGAATAGAAATTGGTAAGTTCGAGTCCAATTTGATTATTTCTTGCTTTTCTGCTGCCTGTCTGCTCTCCCCCTTTCTTGCTGCCGTCCATTGCTATTTAAAAAAAAAAAAAAAAAAAAAACCATTTGCCAAACCCACCAAAGCCACAAGAAAAGATAAGTAGAATTTTATATTCTCTGCCCACTTTTATTCATGATTGCTGTCGGCTTCCATTTTTTAGAAAGGAAAAGTCCCGCTCTTCTTGGACAGTACCATCTTTCTCAAAAAATGGATTCGGAAAGACATCTGACAGAATTTATTTTGAGTCTAAATTATTAAATTAGGAGAGCTAAGAAGATATTAATAACTCTGATTTTCTCTTTTGGCTACCATCTTGCTATCCATTTCTCTTTTTCCTCCTGCTCTGCTACTTTTTCAGTGTTACAACCTCTATGCAAAAAACACTGTTTTGCATGTTTTTGTTCATGCTTCTATTCTTTGTTGTCATTGTGGTGACTCTGAATGGAATTCTCAGTTATCTATTCCTCTACAATACATGATACATCTTATTTTTGTTCATTGACAAATGATGCCACATGCTTGAGATTTTTATGCCATCACTCTGTTGGTTCTTTTGTGATTGTTATTATTTGTTTTAAAATGCGTATGCTGTGTGTGCACAGATTAGAGCAGAGATCTATGATTTAAATTCAAAATAATCCTCACATCAAACTTAGTTAAGTTCAATGTTGTTTTTTGAAACTTTGTATGGTGTTACCAATAACGTTAAGTTTAAATCATTTTATCATAACATTATGTATTTAAATTTAACTAATAATGTTAAGTAATAAAACGACGTAACAAAACAACATTCATTAAGACACGCCAAAAACAAGAATCTTCATTAACGTTATTAATAAACCAATCAATATTCATAATTTTTTGCATGTAAGTGTACTAATATCGATCCAAAGCCGCATGGCCTACCTGTGTGGTCAAATCTTTTGATATAACAATCACTCGACGTTTTCAATGTACATAGCATTAATCTTTAGTACATTAATTCAAATAAAATTGTGGCTCAAGGGAACAGTTAATGATCCACATGGCATCAAAATATCTTACTCAATTGTATATTACACATGTGTATTGCATTATGTGTGTGCGAATACCTTTTTTCACCGTCAATCTATATTAGTTTTGAATTCTGAGTTGATTTAACTAACGGTTTCCAAAAAAGGTTGGTTCTTGAATATTTTCATTTATGCTTTTTCAGTTCTTTGAATGGACTTCCTATAATCCAAAATGAGCTATTGAACAACTCTTTTGCTACATTGTGTTTGCAAATCAATATTTAGGCTAATAATTGAAGGATGATTCTTTTTTGTTGAAAAATGTAATCTGGATTCTTAAACTGTGGCGGTTAATGTGGTTTTTAGGTGAATTTTTCGGGTGGGGGAGAAGGGGTGGGTGGGAGCTTTAAATTGTTATTCTCAATTGGTATATAAATATGTGCAAATCATGGATATCATGGAAGAATTCAAATGTTTTTTCTGCATTAGGTTGGAGAGCATGATCATTTTCTGTTTACACATCACAAAGTTTGTTTTGAGTACTTCTCACGCCATTAAGGCACAAATGTTCTTCCTGCATTAGTTAATGTTTTTTATATCAAAATTTAATATATGTATTAAAGTAATTGTGATTGAAGTTTGTTTATGTCTGCTTTCCAAGATTTATTTTTTGTTTACATGTCATACTCCGTTTATGAATGGTTTTTGATTAACTGAAAGAATGCTTTTCATTCTTGGTTTTCAAGACTTTATCTACCGTTTACAAGTCAACCCCATAATACCAAAGTACAAGAGAAGCAAAGATTTGAGGTGATTTTTGCTCTAACTTATTTAGATTTTATATTCTGGGTTAATTATCAGCCGGATTCTGTTGCTAGATTTAGAATTGTAATTTGGTACCACTGCTGCCACCTGCCGCTTCAGTTTTCACATCCAAATGCCACAAAATGCTAATTTTAAATTCTAGGTTATGGGTAAGCATTATTATTTGGAGGCACAAATTATTTTCAGCCGCTAAACCAAGTTCTAAATCTTTTTTTGTGTAGTTTACAGTAGGCTATCCAAGCCCTATTTTAAATGTATGATTGGTTTGCGTGAAATGAATGAAAAAGAGAGTCAGAATACCCTGTGAGATGACTGATTCCAGAAACCATTTGAAATAAAACATATCAAAAGTGTTGAACGGAGAGCTAAAAGATTATTTGGATGGAAAACAGATTTCACTTTGTTTTCTTTACTCAAAGTGCTTTTATTTAATCCATTTCTGTTTCGGTTGCGTAGTTCGTGGTTCGCAGGGACTAAGAATTGTTTCCTAAGAAATCTATTGAGCTAAGTTCTTTTGGTGGGAAATTAGGGTTGCTGATGTTAGCAATGGATTGAGTCTTTCTGTTTGGTATGATTATATCTCTGAACAAGCATTAATAAATAGAATGATTTTGATCAATAATTTTATTCGGTCAAGATTCAAACTCCCATTGTAGAGCAAACTATAACTCAAACTCCCATTGCAGAACAAACTAGAAGTCAAACTCCCATTCCAGATCAAACTATGAGTCACACCCCCATTTCAGAGCAAACTGGGAACGAGGAGAAGCAATAGGGCATGGCTATTTCCGGGGCATAGGTCGTTTTGAGATTCTAGTGTAATTAGGTTTGAACATTCTACTCCTCTGCTTCTTGATTTATATATATATCTCGAATTTCTCTCAATTGCTAATGGATTTATGTTCTTGGAAAATTTCAGAAAGTCGGGTCGTGTGAGGAAGAAGCTGGTTTGTTGCCATTTTTAGGTATATAATTATGTGCCCTGATAGCATATTCAAAGCCTATTTAGTTATATGGGTTTTTTTATTTATCTTTCTAAAGCTTTTGTGCCTGGATTTTAAATATGTGATTGATAATTATGTAGCACGATAATTGTCAAGCATTTGATCGTTATTCATGAATACAAAATCTTCATTCACAAATCACAAGTATATGATGAGCTATTTAGAAATTCAGCATTTCCGTCATCCAATTCAATAGCATTGGGGATACTATGCTAGAATTCTATTACAGCTCCAGTTAAGAGATGTGAAGCATGAAGAATATCTCTTTAGGAAGTGTTAGCTAATCCGGTTAATTGGTCAACGAAATTAGCCATTTCTGTCATCTAGATTGGATAAGCTAGGAAGAATGTTAGAATGATTGGTCATATTCGTTAGCCCTACGTTTTTTTATTGCATAATGATGGAATTGACACGTCATTTAGTCATAGTAATTGATGTAATAAGTACGTATCAACTGCCGCATTCACTCATCTATTCTTCTCTTCATTTAGGTAAAATGTATCTTATTCGTGCAGTTCAAGGTGATGCATTCAAGTCCCGCAGCAACGTGCGGGCACATTTTCTAGTGCAGAACTAAACCGTAAAAAACTGAACCGAATCAAAATTGGTTGGTTCGGTTTTGGTGGTTCAGATAGGTATATATGCGCTGGTATAGATCAGCTGACCAAGTTTGGATTTAGACCTTGGATTGTATGCAGGTCTTCCCTACTAGAATAAAATGTCTGTTGTTGGATTGAATTAAATGTAGCCAGTAAGTCAGAAAATGGTTTAAAATGTTTGCCTTCTTGTTCTATTGGTTTCAGATTCATTTAAAATAAATAAATTTCAAATAAAAGCAATTGAACCGAACTCATATCAAACTAGAAAAAGCCAATCAAAATTAACCAAACCAAATAAATATCGGAAAAAAAAAGAAAACCTAACTGAACAAAATAGTAATTTCAATTTGGTTTTCGATTTTGACAAAAAAAAGGAAATCGATTGGAACCGAACCCACCCTTAGTATACATGGGCCGAATGAACTGCAGTTAAAATGTTATTAACATATGTGAAAATATAAACTATGCTTATCCCTATATAAAGTACAACCAATTGATCCTAGTTGTTCCTATTGTTCTTAAGATGTAGAAGCCATTTGACCGCACTTTTCATCCACTGAGGATTAGAAACGATGGTACATTTTTTAAGCACGTGAAATACTTATTTAATGTATGATGTCATTATAACTATGTCTTAGTTGCAAGAGAGATTCTCTTATTTAAAAGGGAAATGAAACAAACGTACCCCTCCTTTTTTGTCAAACACCTTATCCCCCTAATCCTATCAATTTGAGAGGGATTATAGAAGTTCCCTTAATATACTATACTGCATAATAATCAACAATCAAGGACAAAAATATGTATATAGAAATAAACTTGAATAATAAACAATAAATTGCAACAAAGTATATTAGCATAGTATGAATAAAAAGAAACTATGTTAAACGGATAAAATAGCATTGGAAAACTTGACTTTGCGGTCCTCGGAAAACTTGACTTCTAACAAGGTTCTCAGAATTCTTTGAAAGGATGAGTTCTTTTAAAACCCAAATTTGCTCTTCATAGTCCATCTTCCCAATCACTCCGTAAGAAGGATTAAGTATTATAAAGTGTGAGAAACTACTGATGATGAGCAACGTGGGATAGTGAGATAGAATGAGATTTCTACTCAAAAAATCCAACATACTACCCAACTTCTACTTTTGAAGTTTGATATCTATTTTTTTATATATTTTTTTCTTCAACATGCTGTGGATATAATGAGGTTTCTATTCCAAACCAATCATAGACACCAAACCATGCATATGTAATTTTATTTATTTAAAAAAAAACCTAGCCTAATTTAAAAGCCTTTTTCACATGTAAGTTGCCGATGACCAAACACTTTAAAAGTGAAGAGTAATGCTAGAAAAACTAATTTGTAGACAAATAATGTGTTACTAATAAGAATAATAAATAATGTGTTACTAATAAGAATAAATACATTTATCAATGACTTAAGTCAAAATTCAATTATCAACTTTCATATTGCTTAGTTTATGAAATTTAGCCTACAAACCTTACTCATTTAAAAAAGAACAACTTATTCAAACTACTCTTATATTTGTCTAGACGTGATCTAGGTCAATGATGTCGAATCAACTTTTATAAGCCAATTTTATTACGGCATAAATGTTGTGACTATATGAAAAAGACCCCAAATTATATAGGATTACGGTTTTTGGTGTATAACTCCCCACGTGATTACAAACTTCACCAAAACCATCCATCATTGGTCTAGATAAACATTCTGCCATATCTATCCAACCACCAAAGCCAAGTGTTACCCTTTAATAATTTTCTTTAGGGTAAAAAACTGTTTACTATCCTCATATTTTGTGGTTTTCAACATTTAGTACATCAAGTTTTTTTCGTCTCGAAGTCATATTTAAAGTGTAAATTTTGGGATAGTCTCATACATCCGTTAGTCAAACTGTTAAGTCTTCCGTTACCTAATGACATGACACCAATGTAGACAATAATTGAGCGCTACGTGTCAATAAGATCCACGTGGATATTAAAAAAAAAATTAAAAAGAAAAAAGTTATCCTCCACCCTTCGCAGTGGACGAGCTGCTCCCTCTCCAACTCTCCGACCCACCTCTTCAGACGCCCCCATTCCTCCCTCTCCAACTTCCAGACCCACCTCTTCCTTTCCTCCACCCTCTTCACCTCCACTCCCTTCTCTCTCCCCAGATCAATCTCCAAGTCCTCGAAACGGGAAAATGGAATCGGAGCAGTTAATCTCGGGGACGGGTCCTGCTACCTCCAAATGCGATTGGAGTTGGCAATGCCGCCCTCTTCCTTTCTCTGCAGTCTGTCGTCCTTCAAGCCCGCTCAGATTTTCGAGGAGTTGCCGAGCGCCACTATTGTCTCGGTCTCCCGTCCCAACGCCGGCAATACCAGCCCCTCACCACCACCTCCTAACCCGACCCATCTCCCTCCACTAATCCTTCCATACATGACCCGGATCCCAACTAGATTCCCAATTCGAATTCTCCATCCACAAATCTTTCGAACCTTCCTCCACCTACTTTGAGGACTGGGACGAAGGCGAGATCGAAGGCCCCTCAAGGACCCATCAAGTTCGACGACCTGCAATTCCAGATTTTTAATTTTTTAGACCAGATTGAGGTCAGGGTTAGGAATCAGAGGGATGGGTGGGAGAGCTCCGTGTGGACTACAGAGGAGAGAATGGAGGGAGAAGGAGGGGAATGGGTGGGTGTGCCGGGGGGGGGGGGGGGTGGGGATGGATGGGTGCGCGGAAGAGAAGGGAGGGAGAATGAGGGAGGGGGTTGGGAGGGACAGAGGGGGTGAACGCCAGAATTTTTTTTTTTCTTTTTTTTTTTGTAAATTTTAAAATGTTAAATTTTAAATTTTTTTAATATCCATGTGGGATTCTTATTGACACGTGGCACCCGGTCATTGTCTACGTGGATGTCATGTCATCGGTTAATGGAAGACTTAACAGTTTGATTAACGGATGTATAAGACTGTCTCAAAATTTATATTTTATGTATGATTCTGGAATAAAAAAAACTGAATGTACTAAATGTTGAAAATCACGAAATATAAAAATAATAAACAATCTTTTGCCCTAAAAAAAATTATGAAAGGGTAACACTTGGCTTTGGTGGTTGGACAGATATGGCAGAATGTTTATCTAGACCAATGATGGAGGGTTTTGGTGACGTTTGCAATCACGTGGGGAGTTATACACCAAAAAAACGTAATCCTGAATAATTTGGGGTCTTTTTCATGTAAAGTCACAACATTTATGCCGTAATCAAATTGGCTTATAAAAGTTGGTTCCACATCATTGACCTAGATCACGTCCAGACAAATATAAGAGTAGTTTGAATAAGTTGTTCTTTTTTAAATGAGTACGGTTTGTAGGCTAAATTTTATAAATTAAACAATATGAAAGTTGATAATTGAATTTTAACTTAAGTCATTGATAAATATGTTTATTTTTATTAGTAACATATTATTTGTCTACAAATTAGTCTTCCTGGCATTACTTTTCACTTTGAAAGTATTTGGTCATCGGCAACTTACATGTGAAAAGGCTTTTAAATTAGGCTAGTTTTTTTTTTAATACGACACAGTAAAGAATACTCCAAAATTTTCGGCGTTAGATATTTGAATAAAATTAAAAATATTAAAATTTTAATGGTTAAAAATTCTGAAGTATCTGATGTTTTGAAAACAACATCGTAGAATTTTTGTATATAAATGATATGGTATTTAACGTGATATAATAATTATTAAAGACAATAATATAGGGATAAAAATTGTAATTTGGTAAAAGATATGGGAGTATACTTGCCATTTAAAAATTTCATTAAATAAGCACCGATTACTATATTGTGAAGGAAAAAACACTTTTTTTAGAAGCATGGTAGATCATGTTTTTGCTTTTTTTTATGCTTTTCTACTATTATTGATAATAGTGTTTTTTTTTTTTTTACTGAACACATTTAGTGTTCCAAATTTTTTTAATAAGCTACTTTTTTTATAAAAGCATCACAATTCCAAACCAGCCCTTAGTACTACAATATGGTGGTATTCCTCTTTTATTTGTAAGTGAGAGGTCTTAGGTTTGTGTCTCACCAACGGCAAATTTGAATTAAATTATTGATAGCTCATTATAAGACTAAGCTCATTCCCTCCCTTTAGGCCATCTCCAACCCTTAGTTAAAACCTAAAATTTTTAGCCCATAAAGTTTAGCTTTTAACCCAGAAACAACTTTTCTGTTCCAACCATTATGGCCTAAAATTTTAGCTCCAAATTATTAAAGAATGAATTTAGGCTAATTTTTTTTAAATTAACTTTATTTAAAAAAAATTATGTAAACTATCTTAAATTAATTTTATGAACATTTTAACTTAAAATATTTAAATTCAAATAAATATTGAAAAATCATAAAATTGACATATAAAACTCATGAATACTATGGAAGAATATGAAACACATGATAGAAAAATTTGGAAATGGGAAGAAATGGTTTTGGAAGATGATACAAAGAAAAATTGGCAGAATTGTAGGACAAAAGTGACTTTTGTGTGAATGTTTGAACAAATACATAAGTATTTATAGAGTTTTTGGGTGAATTTTGAGTTAAATAATTTTTTTTTAAAATTATTTTAGCCATTGGATTCAATAAATATATAAATATAAAACTAAAAAAAAAATTGAATGTGGACCGTTGGATCAACCAACAACCTATTTGATTGTGGCCACAAGATCACATAAAGAGCTGTTAGGCTCATCACTTCTATTAGACAACCAAAAGACAAGCCCGAGTGGGTGGGCTAGGAAAGCTGAGCAGGCCTAGTGTATATGGGCTTAGCGCGTACAGGCTGACGAGTCCAATTCACTCTCTTTAGTCCATTTTCACATGTGGGAGTCACCATTAGTTTTGGGCTAAATTTTGGCTGGTATTTGAGTTTTTTTTAAGTTCTAACACTTAACCCAATTTTAGCAGAAGGGTTGGAAAGAAATGGGGGAAGAATAGAAGAGAAATTTTAGGACCTACTCTAAGAGTTGAAGTTGATATGAAAGTAGATAATATCATCTGTTAAAAGAAAAGAAAAAATTAACTGGTGATGCGGGGTCTTCCATTCATTTGCAGCACAACCAAAAGCAAACGCAAAAACTAAGTGCAAGACCAAGATTAGGTCTGACAACGGATATGTCTGCTCAACCAGCACCTCCCACAATTCCTCTCCTTACTCCCTACAAACTGGGAAACTTCGATCTTTCTCACAGGTATTTTCTCTTTTTCTTCTAAATTTGTATATCGGGTTATTTTCTTGGTGGATGAATTTGCCATAGTATGGCACTCCTCTGCTTAAAGAAAGCCTAGCAGCGTTTGTGGAAATCCCCACTTGGCTAACAAGAAATAACTAAGAGCCGGTTCGATATCCCCCATATCGCTTTTAGTTTCGTATTTCACCTCTATCTCTAACTAGAACTAAAAACGAAATAGTAATCATACATGTCCTAATTTAGTTCGAGCGGTCATCGCTTTGTATAACAAGTTAACTGGTTGTTCATCAAATGAAGTTGTTTGTATGCATTTTGATCGTCGCAAAAACCTTCATATAGTCGCAAAAAGGCATCTTATAGTAAGTTGTTGAACTTGTGAATTGGCAATGTGTTGCAGTCTGCATTCATACTTCATGATTTCTGTCCTAAATTTCCAGGATTGTTTTAGCACCGCTGACTAGACAGAGATCGTACAACAATGTTCCTCAGCCACATGCCGTCTTATATTACTCGCAGAGAACGTCAAAAGGGGGTCTTCTCATAGCTGAAGCTGTCGAAGTTTCGGATACTGCTCGAGGGTGCGCAAACATATGATACATTTCGAGTAGTGCTATTGTCTGCTTTCTACATTAATATTTGCAACGTCTGATGGGATGACACTTTTGTTTCCTTAATATCTGATCTGAAGGTACGTGGATATGCCTGGTATTTGGACAAGGGAGCAAGTCGAAGCATGGAAACCAGTTGTTGACGCTGTTCACACTAAAGGCGGTATCTTCTTCTGTCAGATTTGGCATGCCGGCAGGGTTTCAAATAGCGGTGCGTTTCTCCCTGCACTTCACCTTCAATGATCCCACATATTGTGTTGTGTTCAGGTTGTGATTCTAACTCTCCTCTCTACTAACAGGTTTCCAGCCCAATGGGCAAGCTCCAATCTCTTGCACTGACAAGCCACTGACCCCCCAGCTACTGTCTAATGGTGTTGACGTTGCTGAATTCACGCCTCCAAGGCGATTAGAGACAAATGAAATTCCACAAATTGTGAATGATTTTAGACTTGCTGCACGGAATGCTATCGAAGCTGGTAATCAATCTTTTATTTAAACATGAAATGGTAAAATTTGCATAAACTTCAAATTGGATTAAGCTTAATCTGTTAAATGTAGTAAATTAAGGGAATACAAGAAGGTACTTGAAGAAATGCATGACGAAAATGCTTGTCTGATATGTATGTATAGGCTTTGACGGGGTTGAAATTCACGGGGCCAATGGCTACATTATTGATCAGTTTCTTAAAGACCAAGTGAACGATCGAACAGACCAATACGGTGGATCTCTAGAGAATCGTTGTCGATTTGCTCTGGAAATCGTTGAAGCTGTTGCTAATGAGATAGGAGCAGACAAAGTTGGACTTCGATTATCTCCATTTGCCGACTATATGGAGTCAGGGGATTCGAATCCTAACGCATTAGGCCTTTACATGGCGGAATCCTTGAACAAATACGGGATCCTGTACTGCCATGTGATTGAGCCAAGAATGATGACACCGGGAGATATAAGCGAAAGCTCCGATAGTCTTGCGCCAATGAGAGAAGCATTCAAGGGTGCCTTCATCGCTGCAGGTGGTTACGAAAGGGAAGATGGGAACAAGGCCATTGCTGAAGGCCGTGCAGATCTTATTGCTTATGGTCGTTGGTTCTTGGCTAATCCGGATTTGCCAAAGAGATTTGAGCTTAACGCTCCTCTAAACAAGTACAATCGAGATACGTTCTACACATCTGATCCGGTAATTGGTTACACTGATTATCCATTTCTTGAAACCACGGTTTAAGTATCCAATTAAATGTGGAAGCTTGAACACTTGTACTTTTATACCTGTATACCTGCACTGATGTTCTTAAATGTTTATCCTGTTGCATTGAACATTCTCAGTTGGTTAACTAGGTTTGGTGTATTATGACTCGGCAAAAATATACACGCTGTTTTATCAAGAACACGCAAAAATATACTTTAACAACAAAGTAAATTTAGAAACATGCATCAATCTCTTTAGACAAATCTAAATCCCACCCGATCTAAATCCCACCCGATTTTTTTCCTGCAATGTAACAGTAGCATTTGGTAATGTACATGGAATTTGTATATGTATACATATGCACTTACATTTTGAAACCTATTTACATTATAAACTAGTTTGACCCTTTGAACTATTATCTCAGTTAAAACTGACCCCTTGAATTATTTTTTTTGGTAAATTAACTCCTTGAACTATTTAAATTAGCCAATTAACTCCTCACCATCATATTCGATGAAATTTTATCCATTTTGCTGTTAAATATGGCACGTGATTGTGGATGCAAATTTCCGCCGTCTCTTTCTTTGACGAAAAATGCACATGCAAAATCATAAAACCTTTGATTATGGCCAAAGGTCTCACGTGCCCACGATGAATTTGGGGGAGCTTTAGCCAAAGAATCTCTAATGTTAAAGTTATAATTCTGAAAAGAATGTATTTAGGAGTTTGCGGGCTGCAAATGACTTAGTATTTTAGTGGGATAAGAGGGGTATTTATAAGAGAGTGGTCGGCCCTTAGGGTGAGGAGTGGTGGCCTTTTCTGGTGTATTTGGGTGATAATTGCAAAATATTATGCAAAATAATATCTTACAATTAACATGGCAAATATTCCTAATTTAAATAGAAAGTTTTGGGAGTTACCTTTTGAATAAAATCCGTAAGGGATTGATAAAGAGTAATGAGAGGAATGTGGAATAAATTTCATATTGATCACCTTTGACTCTTTCTTGATTGAGTCGTTATTGTTCGTTGCATGCACTTGGGAATCGCGGTGTACCTCAAGGTTAATCTTGTCTTTTTAACCCAAAAATCGACGTGTCATCTCCATATTTTTTGGATTATTTTTTGCTCCACAGTGATCAGCACATGATTCAATCTTGAGGGGTAAAGTGTGCTAGTATTTGACGGAAAAGTTAATGAAATTTCATCGAATTGTAAGAATTCTATGCGGACTCAACTAGTTATAGATAAAGGAGAAATAATATGTTGGTAATACAAATTAATAAGTGTTTGGATACGTAGAAAGCTACATCATATAATTGAGGGGTATACTTTCATTGTGCATTTGAAAGGAAGCACTAATCACAACCACCTCTACATGATAGGGATTTGAAGCAAAAAAAATAAATAAATAACCAACCCTCCATGATAGATGGGAGTTGGCTGCCATTGCTTCTATAAGTGCAAGAGTTCCCTGCTCACAGAGAAATACATTCAGCATTCTTGGCTCTATCACCATCTAAACATAAGGTCTCTTAGTGGTTAGAAGAAACTACTTGACATCCATGGCTTCTTCAGGTTTGAGACTAACGATCATTTGTAAATTTGAGACTAACGATGGATATATAAATATATACATATTGTGAATTGTGATTAGAGTTTCTGTTAATTTACTTAAATTCCAACATGAATTTGATAATGCGGGGTTAATTGACTGATTTCAAGTAGTTCAAAAAGTTAATTTACTAAAAAAATAATTTAAGAAGTCAGTTTCAACCAGAATAATAGTTCATGGGTTAAACGGACGGGTTGCTTATTTCAACAAAAGAGAATCAAAGAAGAAAAAGGCTAAAACCATGTTCAACACCTTCAGGAAATAGTACGTCAAAATCACTTATTACAGTTCATTCCGCAGTCTCTCCCGAGTTCCTGACGTATATTTCTTACCAACATTAATCGAAGACCATACCCTCTCTGCTGGTTTTGTTCCCGGGTCCTCCTGTACAACAAGTTCACGAGCACCTTATACTAATTAAAGTAGTTTCTGCATCAACCGAGGAGAACATAGCCTTCTACTTAAGGCAAGAAAAATTACGTTTACTGAGAAAACCCCGAACCGATAAAGCAAACTTGAAATGAAAACCCCTAACCAATAAAGCAAACTTGTAAATTTATTTTTCTCAAATAAGTTTGCGGCTTTGAATGGAGGAAGGTTAGCCAGTCATGAGGTGAGTCGGGCATGCTAGTACGAGGATACCAATATCAGTAGCCTGCATGAACTGGGCTCTAACAAAAAGTGTGGAATGTCTGTGCTGTTGTAACGGTGAAGGCACTTGGCTAGAGGTTGCCAGCTAATGTCGCAAGTCGAGCACCAATTTGGTCCTCAGATACAAGCTTAGCACTGTTGGAAGTGTGTGATATTTTCAGACATTTCACGTATTAAACTCATTTAGTTTAATCAAAAGGCAAATATTATTGTTTAAATCCGTCGTATTATATGTTATACGCCAAATAATAAGTCCACAGTTAGGAGAAAGTCTAAAAAGTATAATCAAAATTAGGAATTTGAGTTGCATGAGTGGCATGATCTATTTTGTGTTTAGGGTCAAGAATAGTAGGAGAAAAGAGAGAGAATGAGCCATCAACAAATTTCCACAGATCATGACTTACAAGAAAGAGCTTAAGCCGACGAAGCCGAAAAAGATAGTTGGAATCGGTTAATTTGAGGAAGTGAGCAATATTTGGGATTTATAGGCGAAGAGGACGACACAGACATGCAGAAGCTATTGTTTGAGGAATGATTGACTTTAATAAGGAAGACACAGACTACGATCTAGTGGTATTCCTCTTCGCATGTGAGTAAGGAGTCTTAGTGTAGATAATACATTTAGGATTTTGGAAATTATAGGAAAGTCTAAACTACATATACGATGTAGAAATTGTAATTCTCACTGCTACTAGTATGTAACTGTGTACAACATAGATAATTATAAAATTAGAATCTACAACTTATACACATTAAGGGGTAAAGCTTCTAGAATCATTCTTAAATTAACCTGTCTTGTCTAACGTAAAATCTAGCCAAAAGAGCTAAACAGTTGATATTCACGACTTTGGTTTTTACAGATATATAAACTTTTATGTTTATCCAATTTTGTGATAGAATGATTGTTGATAGGGCATGAACTTATAAGTAGCTGAGTTACTCTTTATATTTTCAATTAATTTTATGATGAAACTTCAACTTTCTTCATGATATCAAAGTCAAGTTGCCCTAACCCCACATATGAAGCCCAACGACCACAGTTCAAATGAAACTCCACGACACTTCATTTATGTTGTCCATATGCGAGAGGGCGTATTGAAATTTCACCACACGTGAGAGATGTTGAAATGTCCCACACTAACCAATGATAAAAGAAGAGTTTAAATATCCTAATCCCACTCCAACTAACGCCGATGCCTTTTGTGATAAAACCCCACACCTGACGGATTGTGCAGGTGGTAATTACCAAGTTGGGGACAATATCGGTATTGTTGGAGTGTGCTTTTAGTTCGCCTCTTTGATAATTCTACATGGTATCAGAGCCAGGGAATGGGTTCGTATTGTACTGCCATGTGATGGGTGGGTCCTCTTAGCCCCGCGCGATGATGGTGGGTTCCTTGGCCCCACGTGTAGGGTGAGTCTCCTTGACTCTACGTGGTTGTCGATGTGTGGATCTCTCACGTGTAATCCATTAATTGGGTCTCACGTGAGGAGGCATGTTGAAATGTCATACATCGACCGTATTAATGAGAAAAAAAGAGTTTAAATATTCTACTAACATCGAGATTTTTTGTGATAAAATCTCACACCTGATGGATTGTGCAGATGATAATTATCAAGTTGAGAACAATATAATGTTGTTGGAGTGGACCTTTAGCCCGGCTCTCTGATAATTCTACCAAAGAGCGTGGCATGTTAAAAATTCGCTACACATTATTTTCCCGCATCTTTCCATCTCTTTTCTCACCTTAGGCTCTAGCAGTTATAATATTTCAACTTGAAAATAACAGATCATAGAGCACGAGACGGACCGTACGTCCATGCGACTGTTTAAGGTTTCACCTGTATTCTTTTTCAAGCATTTCAAGTTAAGGCCGAAAATGATGATGGAATCTTGGCTTACTGGTTCATACGAATGGCACAAAGGTTTAGTTAATTGGAAAATTAAAAAGAAACTGCTTGTGCATAGTGGCATTTGTTTAGAGTCTTATACTTTCGAACTTTTGAAACCTAATAAGTGGCTAGGTGAGAGTGTTAGCAAAAGATTTCTGGAATCAAGCTTTACACTGCAAAAGAACAATATGCATCCACGCGGCGGCTATGTAAGCCACTTCATGCAGCCTATTTGATCGCAGATGTCAAAGAGAAATCTCTTTTGTATTGTATTGAACGTGAGGGATTTGACAGGATTATTCTTGGCTTCTAAGCTAAGATGAAGAAAAATAATAACAACTGAATTCTTTGAAATTAAAAAAGTTCTAGGGAGACAGTGGAGAAAGCTGACCTGACGTTTGGAGTGTTTTTTTTTTTTTTTCAAAAAAACTAAAGTTGATGGAAAAAGTAAAATGTTAAAGGGATTTTTACAATACCCCACATAATGAAATATTTCAATCTAACGATTAAAATACTCAGAACATAAAATATTTCAAGGCACTCTAATTTTTAAAGGATAATGCTATGTATTCACACACCGGTTTTTATTTTTCACACTCTTGTTAATTTGTGTTCATTCTCCATTGATCTACTTCACTTTATTTGATCTGATGATTACAATGAAGAGGCATGTGAGAGAAAAAAAAAAGTGTATGAAAGAAAAAAATTAATATTTGAATAGCAATCACTTTTTTAACTGTATAATAAGCTTGGAAGGCTTTAAACCATGCAATGGTTTGTCACAAAAACAAAGGCAAATGGGTGACGAGAAGGCCAAAGGGATGTGGAAAAAGAAGAGGCAAAAGCTAACAACCCAACATGGGCAGCTCATTGGATCATTAGAGAGATTGATGGGCATCACATGATAAAAAAAATAAAAAAATAAAAAAAATACAAAACAAAAGCTTACAAATTGCATGCTGACTAGACTTCAACCGTCCCACAAATACACTTTTCCTTCAGCTGAGAGACTGTTGAATGGTCATTGGTCACCGAGGATACCAAATCTAGTGCTGCAATGGCCATCCAATGAGCGTGACATGCTATATTTCACCTTTTTAATAGAGAGTGATTCTCGAATTTAGAGAATTGGATGATTTAGGATTTGACATGTTTGCAGAAGTTAGTGATTTAGAGTACAAATAAGTTCTTGGTTTACAAATCAACGAGATGAACAAGTAATTCTAATCTAACCCTAAAAGTTAACGGAATTCTTAGATGAATTCACCTAATTAGTGAACACACAAATTAATGTAGGAATAATCAGTTTTACTTTGGTAATTAAAGATCCAGCTTCCAAGTAACGTGATCCAATAAATGTAAGTAGCGAGAGATTTTATTAGTTTGCGTTTTACATATAAGTAGTAGAGAGCTTGCAGAGAGAAGTTTGATTTGTGCTGGATTCACATACTATATATTATAAGGTAATAACTAAATTAACCATTGATAAACAATGTGGGGTAATGTGATTAACTTTGTGAAATGGGGGGATTGAAATTCCGTTGGAGACAGAGAGCATGATAGAATAAAAAGAGATGATTATGTGTAAGGTTAAACTAATTAAATGATAAACAAAGCTAAGTGATTTGTGAAAGTAGGTGCGCATTATTCTTAATCATCGGTTGAAGATATAGATTGGAATCCACGTGAGGTTATATAAGGCACTAAGCTCTTGATATTTAGAGGCAAACCGTACGTCAGTTCTAAGTTCCGAGAGAGGAGGATTGCAACAACCTCGAAGCTAGTTCAAACTAGTGGGAGGTTGTCTGCAGAGGAAATTAAACAGCCACCAAATTTTTGTATCAGCCATATATATACTCATACATATATACAGTTCAACTTTTGATATATCGATTGCTCGATATGGCTCGCGGAAAGGTTCAGGTGAAGAGGATCGAGAACCCGGTGCACAGGCAAGTTACTTTCTGCAAGCGCCGAGCAGGGCTCCTGAAGAAGGCTAAGGAGCTGTCTGTGCTGTGTGATGCTGAGATTGGAGTTTTCATTTTCTCCTCCCAAGGAAAGCTCTTTGAACTAGCCACCAAAGGGTCTCAAGCTCTCTCTACCTTTTTCTGTACAATAATAATGTATCTGTATAATGTTTAGCAGATAGTTTCAAACGCCCTATAATTAAGTGGTGTGCATGTACTCTTACAAAAAATTAATAGAATTGGAACTAATATTGTATTAATTTTAAGAAATCTAGCTTTTAGATTAACTCTGATTGATATTGCTTTGTTTTTTATTATGGCAGAAGCATGCAAGGGCTTATTGAGAGGTACATGAAGATGAAGCCCACCCGAGCACCTCAGACAGAGCAAACCATGGAAACACAAACTCTGGTACAATACCTCTTGCTGTTTAATTTGTCGCTTCTTTTTCAATTTATGTCATTTATTTGTTTCATCACACTGAATAATTTCTCATATTTATTTTTATCAAAAAATAATTCTCATGTTATATACACATAGTTCTAAGGAAAACACACACACACGAAATTATTGTGCCATTCATTATTATTCCTAAAGCTAGTGCAGCATCAGATGCTGGTTATGAATGATTCTTACAAGATTACAAAAATTAATTAAATACACAACATACACGCTTAGCTAGAAAAATAAAAGAAAAACAAACAAACAAAATACCATATATACATGATAATGTTCCTCAAATCACAACTTCTTTTTGAAAGACCGAACAATGTCAGACACCTAATTGCAGGAATCTTGAATATACAAATAAATACAAACTAATATACACACATATATATGCGAGTACAGTAAACTCGAGTGTTAACTAGTATTTTAATACATAGCTAACCACTCATGTTCATGTATGCATGCATATATGACTTTACGTATGAATACATATTTCTAATTGGATAATGCTTGTGTTCCTTCGTGGGGAAACCTACTTGTTTCTTCACTTTTAATTAATATAAGTAGTAAAAACTTCATAATTGCAATTGTTCATACTCTTTACACTACAAGAATTGTAAGTATTAAAGGGAATTTTATTGGCATCTTAAACATTATTAGGGGCATTTATCATAGATTTTCGCCTCCAAAAAGGAGTGGCGAATAACATAATCGCCTCTAAAAGTGGCGTCACTAATACTATTTCCGCACTTAATCATGATTATTTCCGCTCCTACTGTTTTGATTGCAATAAGGACATTTAATTCTGCCCCTATTGTATTATTATAATATTATTAATATTATTAACAAATATTACAATTGAATGCTATAAATAAATAATTGGACCTGTTTTAATTGAATAACGTTTTCATTCCCCGTAAATGATATTATTACTAGGTTTCATTTCCTGTTAATTTTTTTGGTTCAAATATAATACATCATCTGGGATCAATACCATCAAAAGTAGAATCAAAATTTAATTTTCATTCAAAACTCTTTAGATATACAAGATTAAACTTCGATTGATAGTTACCAAAAAAAAAAAAAAAAAAACTTCGATCGACACATGATGGATAATTACAAATAAAAATCAGAAAGTAGTACATAAGGGACTATAGCAAAACTTATATCTAAGGAAAATTAATGAAAAAAGTTTGAAAACTTTCTTATATTTAATCAGCACCCGGTCTTTTGATTCCCAACAACAAAATGATGCGTCTTCCATGATCAATTTCTACAAATACACCAAAATGATGCATCTTCCATGATCCATTCTTTGATCTATTTCTGGGTAACAACATTTTCATACAAACAAGAAAAACAAAATCATATAAACAGATAAAATTAATGCAATATAATGAAAACAATGTTTGAGTAGAACTCACATGAAAAGAAACGAGGATAAACATCCACCCATCGCAATACGAATAGCATACAAAACCTGCAAAACAAACAGAAAAATCAAACCTAATTCATCCAATCTGGATTCATGATGAAATTCATCATCTAATGTATACAAAAATAAAACAGAAAAGATAAATAAAGAACACAACCAAGAGATTTATAACCAATTTCACTTCAAATTCTTCACACCCCGTCAAATATACCTGCTAAATAGCAGATCGAGAGAAAAAAAAAAAATTTAATCAAACGATACTGAAGGGTAGCAATATTAAGAAGCAATGGAGAAGGAAATAAGAGAAAAAATATCTCGGAAAGAAAGAGAGAGCAGGACAAGAAATATGAAGGAAAAGGGAGATGGGGAACTTTGTGCCGTGAAAGGAGGAGAAAATATGGGAGATTGATGTGCGGTTATCAAAGAAATAGGGTTTTGATAATTTCTTTTATTTATTACGTTAAGGAAATACACAAATAATTAAATATAAGTGTATAAATATTCACATCCGCTCCTAATGGAAATTATTAAATTTGGAAAATATATGTTGAATTTAGAAATGTATATTAAATTAAAAAAAATATATATTAGAGGCTTACTTATCCTCCTCTAATATCTAAATTTTAATAGAGGCATTTTTTTACGCATCTAAAAGTAGTAATAGAGGCAAATATTTATTTCTGCTCCTAATGAAGATTAATAGAGGCAAATCAACATATCCGCATCTAATCTAATGCCCCTAATAGTTACAATTTTTGTAGTGTTATCATCATTTAAAGATTTGAACGATTGTAATTATAAAGTTCTTATGGTAAAAAAAATACGTTAATCATAAGTGGGGGATAAATAGGTTTTTTTCATGAGTGTACGTAAGTATTATCCATTGTAATTAATTAATTATATTTCTTACTTTAATTATGTTATCTTTCATCTCATCTATTAGGGAAAGAGAAATGAAACCCTACATGGTGCATCTACGATAATTACAATCCTTTTGATTGACTTAGGGCATATTTACATGGATGCCATCTATGATTTTTTTCTTCTTCCTTCTAAACCTAATTTGAATTCCCTTATTGTATTGGTATATAGGATGCGAAAAAGGAGATTAACTTGATGAAACAGGAGATTGAAATACTACAAAAAGGTCTCAGGTATTACAAAGTAAAATTATATTATCCTATTTATTATCATGACATCAATATATATAGAACTTATATTTGCATGTGATTGTATCCATATATACTTCTAACAATTATATATGACAATAATATATATAGAGCTAAATCCATGTAATATAAAAAAAAATATGAAGGGGTAGGGGGAAAATTTGAAACTATTACATTAATTTAGAGAAGAAAGAGTTTTGAACCCAGAACGCTTGTGTAGAAACCCAACAACCTATCCACTAAGATATTAGACACATGTATAGTCTACTAATGTACCAAATTGTAATTATGACCCTTATATAAAGCACTCCATTTCTTGAACTATATCGAATAGGTTTTTTGGAGTACAGTTAAATCTAGCGAAGTCAAAAGTCTAGTTATTTTGCCACTCAATATTATGGTCTAGTGGTATTCCTCTTTACTTAGGAGTGAGAGGTCTTAGATTCAAATCTCTTGGATGGCGAATTCGATACCAAATTAGGCTACCCATTGTATAGCTTAGCCGAACTCCCCCTCCCCTAATGTAAAAATATCAATATACTCACAAAAAGTCTAGTTATTTTACCAAAAAAAAGGAAAAAGGCCTGTAGTTTAAATTAATTTAACTCAAAGATTATGAATTGAAGAAGTAAACTTTCAAACATATCATACGTAGTAACAGGTTAATTAGGTATGATTAGTTTGGTAATGGTTGTAATTTTGGTTTTAAGGGAATTGGATTACATATGAAAACATTATAGGTATAGGTATATGTTTGATGGAGGTGCCGGGACAATGACTTTGGATGAATTACAAGTGCTTGAAAAACATCTTGAAACGTGGATTTATCATGTCCGCTCAACAAAGGTATCGTTTTTATCCATCACTTACACTATTATTATTTATCACAATCCATAAATTACATCTAAGCAACACTTAATTCATGTTATGTATGCAGATGGACATTTTGTTCCAAGAGATCCAGCTGTTGAGGAACTCGGTAAGTTTGCTTTCCAAAGTCCCTACTTACTTTTTGATGAGATCATGCATTGGTGTTGTATTGTAGATAGAGGTGCGATATCCACACATCTCATTTTACTTCTCACATACATTTTGAATTTTCTACCGTCGGATCTGATGAATTGAAGAAGATCAACGGACAGAAATTATCAAGGGGTATGTGAGAAGTAAAATGAGGTGTGTGGATAGCACACCCCTTATATATAATGCTGGAGATGTTAGTACATACATCAACTTCATTAGATAAGATCCATCAATGTTCCAAAACAGTTTGGCACAATAGTTTTTTTCCATTATTTTTGCTAAGTTTTTAATATTATATCAATGAGAAGGGGAGCGAGCGGGGGTGCAATTGGAGATGTCTACCATAGTAGTTTATAAGTTTAATTGGATTGACAGTGTGATTTATGTTATTAGATTATAGCTCTCTGTTTAAATAGGAAAATAATAATCACATTGTTTAATCATATTAGTTGGTTCTGTTTGATTGTTTCAATTCAGTTATTATCAATATAAGAAGGTGCATAGAAGAAGAAATGTGCGTGGTTGTCATTTCTCTTTGAATAAGTAGAAGATGTTAGAGAGGATTTCAAAAAAATCAACTCCAACTATGCTCCTATCACCTCCTAAGATGGGATACCTCTAAGAGCTCCTAAATATGAGGGAGAAATGAGCTCCTAGTGGTTTTATGTAATTAAATGCTCCACGTTTCAGTTTTATTATTCATAAATAATTAAATTCCTATTGACTCATATTCATTGTGACTTTCTAAATTATGAAGTAAAACTTTTTTAGAGAGTTTCAAAAATAATTTTTCTCTCTTTTTAGTAAATTGAGCTATAAAAAATAGAGAACATAATTGGAGTTGCCCTCAAATCCCTATATCTAGCGTTTTAGAGTGTATTATTTCTTTTCACTAATGTTGCCTAACTCCCTTGGTACTTGAAAATCACTGGTCCAAATGCAACACCAAATTTTTTTGGAAGTGAGCTCTTCATGGCCTCCAAAGTTTTTGGCACTACAACTTGACTTCATTTGTTTTTTGTTACTTCATGAAGAATAAAGCTAGGAATCATTATCCTATCCATCAAATGCCACTTGACTGGGCACATTCATGGCCTTTATAAAATTTCAACTTTTAATTTTGGATAATGGATTGAAATTTTATGTTAATTGATAATATTGTTGCCTTGCTTTTTTTTAATCTTCTCAAATAATTAAATTGATATTTTGAAGGAAGGAATTCTGGCAGCTGCAAATAAGTATCTTCAAGATAAGGTAATCAACGTTCTTATTAAAGTTTATGGTAACTTGTAGCTATTATCGCTAATTATTAGCAAATTTTCAATTTGTCCGCCAATTCAATTTGTTGAAATTTGATAATCTGCCAATTACCCTTTTTTGGCAAGATTTATGGGTAAAAAGACCCATATAATGTATATACTTATCTAACTTTTTAACTGAAGTTCTATGTTTAATTTAGAACGAAATAAAAGAGGCTGATTAAGTAAATACATTGCGGGTGGTTATTTTTCCCCAAAATATAATAATAAAAAAATTTCAGATTTTGACGTCAAGATCAAAGTGACAAAGTGTTAAATGATTGGGTATAAATTCAAAGAGTAATATTTGAGAGACTAAAATTCAAAATACCAATCGAGGGGTCAAAGCTAGATATAATTAAAGCATTATTGTTACGATTACTTTTGTAAAAGTACTAAGTTTTACTTTCTAACTCATTGATGTTAAATATATTTATTTATTTTATGCAGATTGAAGTGAACACTGGAGCTAATGACTTTATGCCAATAGCAACTGACAACACATATCCACTAACCATACCAAATGATATATATGAGTTTTAGAGAAGTAACTATGCTTTATATAATGGTTTAGTATTCTTATTGCCAAGTGTGTGGTGTGGTTTAAAAATTTTCATAAATAAATGTTACTAAGAATCATCCAGCTATCTATGGCTGACAATATTGCATGCATATTGTTGTATTGTACAATATGGTATTGCTATTGAAGTGCATTGTAAGGTAATTTAATGATATGCATAATATTATGGTGTGATTTGTTATTGAGTCATCACTCTTTATTGAATGTATTTTATTTTGTGTTAATTAAATTTTACCCTCTAAGTTTGATGGTAATTTTGAGACTAATGGTCACAAGGTTTCAGAATTAGCATTTTACACAACAAGTTTTTAAAACTGTATTAATTTAAAACTTATATCTGATTAACCGTTAGGTTTGCTATTAAATAGATGATGTGAAAATTGTCTATAAGGACATGAAAAGCTTATTGACCATTATGTCGACTAATTGACCGCTAGGTCTGCTGTTAAATAGATGATGTGGAAGTTGTGATCAATCACAAAATGGCTCGATAATTCGCCAACAAAGTGTATTTATAATTTTATACGGAATATGGTATACATTCTTGCTTAATTCCAGTTAATCATGGTGATTCTTAATAGATAACAACTTTAATAACGAAAACTTTTCAATACTTTGGGCAAAACGAAAACAAAAAAAAATAATAATAAATTTTTAAGACGTGCATAATAAAAAAAAAGTCTCTCAATTTCACAATACATTACAACAATATCTTGAAAATCATAATAAAAAACAATTAACAAGACATTTTTAAGTGCGTTTAGCGTCTAGCGTCCATGATTAAAAAACCCACGCTCGCAAGTGTCCAAAAAGACATTTATGTCCATGTCTCTGTCAATTAACATAAATTAATTTTGGGGCCTAAACACAATTCCAAAAACTGTGTTTTACACTTTACTCCATCTCCCTCCCCTTCCCTTCCCTCCTCCGTCTTGAAGCAGCCCTCACCCGCCCGAACTACACCACTTTCTTTAGCCCACCCGACTTTCGCTTTCTTCTTCTTCTTCCCAGACGGCACTGCAAACCCTACGCCTGTCTCTCTCTGTTTCCTTCCCCACTGAAACTTCGTAGGCGAGATGTCCACCTTAGAAATTGAAGCTCGAGAGTACGTTTTCTTCTCAAATTGCTCGATTTTTTTTTCTTCACTTTAACGTTGTATTGCGCACACGTAAATCCTATGTTTATGTTTTTCTAGGGCCCAATATTCAAACTCTAGTGTTATTTTCTGGGCAGACAAATGGGGGAGTAGAGCATAGCAGGGTTAAGTTAGGGATATGTTGGCTTTCGGTAACAGGGGTAGAGACATGTCTGCTAAAGATTTAGTGAGACTACAACGTTGCACTGTTTGAGTGTACTAGAAAATTCGATGTCGTAAATCTGGTTTGTTTTTCTCCCTTTTCAGTGTCATCAAGATTGTGCTTCAATTTTGCAAAGAGAATTCTTTGCACCAAACGTTTCAAACATTGCAGAGTGAGTGCCAGTTATCTTTGAACACTGTCGACAGTGTTGAGACATTTGTTTCTGACATAAATAGTGGAAGGTGGGATGCAATTTTGCCTCAAGTGGCTCAACTTAAGCTTCCAAGGAACAAATTGGAGGATTTGTACGAGCAGGTGTGTAACAGCACTTACCTTTTTATATGTATATTTCAAGCCTGGTTTTAGTCCTTTCACTTTCCGATGTACGAGTAGTGCTATTGTCTGCTTTCTACATTAATATTTGCAACGTCTGATGGGATGACACTTTTGTTTCCTTAATATCTGATCTGAAGGTACGTGGATATGCCTGGTATTTGGACAAGGGAGCAAGTCGAAGCATGGAAACCAGTTGTTGACGCTGTTCACACTAAAGGCGGTATCTTCTTCTGTCAGATTTGGCATGCCGGCAGGGTTTCAAATAGCGGTGCGTTTCTCCCTGCCCTTCACCTTCAATGATCCCACATATTGTGCTGTGTTCAGGTTGTGATTCTAACTCTCGTCTCTACTAACAGGTTTCCAGCCCAATGGGCAAGCTCCAATCTCTTGCACTGACAAGCCACTGACCCCCCAGCTACTGTCTAATGGTGTTGACGTTGCTGAATTCACGCCTCCAAGGCGATTAGAGACAAATGAAATTCCACAAATTGTGAATGATTTTAGACTTGCTGCACGGAATGCTATCGAAGCTGGTAATCAATCTTTTATTTAAACATGAAATGGTAAAATTTGCATAAACTTCAAATTGGATTAAGCTTAATCTGCTAAATGTAGTAAATTAAGGGAATACAAGAAGGTACTTGAAGAAATGCATGACGAAAATGCTTGTCTGATATGTATGTATAGGCTTTGACGGGGTTGAAATTCACGGGGCCAATGGCTACATTATTGATCAGTTTCTTAAAGACCAAGTGAACGATCGAACAGACCAATACGGTGGATCTCTAGAGAATCGTTGTCGATTTGCTCTGGAAATCGTTGAAGCTGTTGCTAATGAGATAGGAGCAGACAAAGTTGGACTTCGATTATCTCCATTTGCCGACTATATGGAGTCAGGGGATTCGAATCCTAACGCATTAGGCCTTTACATGGCGGAATCCTTGAACAAATACGGGATCCTGTACTGCCATGTGATTGAGCCAAGAATGATGACACCGGGAGATATAAGTGAAAGCTCCGATAGTCTTGCGCCAATGAGAGAAGCATTCAAAGGTGCCTTCATCGCTGCAGGTGGTTACGATAGGGAAGATGGGAACAAGGCCATTGCTGAGGGCCGTGCAGATCTTATTGCTTATGGTCGTTGGTTCTTGGCTAATCCGGATTTGCCAAAGAGATTTGAGCTTAACGCTCCTCTAAACAAGTACAATCGAGATACGTTCTACACATCGGATCCGGTAATTGGTTACACTGATTATCCATTTCTTGAAACCACGGTTTAAGTATCCAATTAAATGTGGAAGCTTGAACACTTGTACGTTTATACCTGTATACCTGCACTGATGTTCTTGAATGTTTATCCTGTTACATTGAACATTCTCAGTTGGTTAACTAGGTTTGGTGTATTATGACTCGGCAAAAATATACATGCTGTTTTATCAAGAACACGCAAAAATATACTTTAACAACAAAGTAAATTTAGAAACATGCATCAATCTCTTTAGACAAATCTAAATCCCACCCGATCTAAATCCCACCCCATTTTTTTCCTGCAATGTAACAATAGCATTTGATAATGTACATGGAATTTGTATATGTATACATATGCACTTACATTTTGAAACCTATTTACATTATAAACTAGTTTAACCCTTTGAACTATTATCTCAGTTAAAACTGACCCCTTGAATTATTATTTTTGGTAAATGAACTCCTTGAACTATTTAAATTAGCCAATTAACTCCTCACCATCATATTCGATGAAATTTTATCCACTTTGCTGTTAAATATGGCACGTGATTGTGGATGCAAATTTCCGCCGTCTCTTCCTTTGACGAAAAATGCACATGCAAAATGCACATGCAAATTTCCGCCGTCTCTTCCTTTGGCCATAATCAAAGGTCACTAGTAGAAAAACATGTTTGCGCAACGGCATCTTGCGCGACGAAGAAAATTTTGTAGCGCAAAGTCCGTTTGCGCGACGTATAACACAAAACGTCGCGCAAACGTACTTTGCGCGACGGTACTTTGCGCGACGAATAAAGAGTTGTGCAAAACAGCTTTGCGCGACGCAGGTGGGCATACGTCGCGCAAAACTGCTTTGCGCGACGCCGTCATTCGTCGCCAAACTTTTGGCGCCAAACCAAGAAGGTTTACCGCGTTTTTCGTTGACTTTGCGCAACGTAGGTCCTTATGTGTCGCGCAAAACAGCTTTGCGCGACGTAGGATTATATGCGTCGCGCAAAACATCTTTGAGTGACGAAGACTGGCGTCGCGCAAAGCTGTTTTGCACGACGTATGCCCACCTGCGTCGCGCAAAGCCGTTTTGCACGACGCAGGGCATGAACGTCGTGCAAAGTCTTTTTTTTTTTTTTTTTTTTTTCTTTGGTGTTCTTGCATTGCCTTTTTCTTTGTGGTATCCACTTGTGTAAATGTTTTAAATTGATGATCGAATTAGTTCATTATATTTATATAGGGTTAAAGAGTGTAGTTGTAAAAAAATCATCAAAATCGGAGTTAAAATAACCGTTAAATCATGATTTTTCATTTATAGCCATCAAAAAGGTTTGTCCCTGTACCTAATTTCTGCATGTTTGTTTTTGTGATTTTTGGCGTACACGATCTCGAAGCATATACAAACAAGTTTGACGGTTGGATTATTGAAACTAGTTTCGTACAATGCATATCTGATCAAAACATTAGATTCACTAACAATTGGAGTTTATTTATACTTTCATTGAGTATAACATAAGATTTTGTGGTATTCACTTGTGTAAATATTTTAAATTGACGATCGACTTTGTTCATTGTATTCATATAGGATCAAGGAGTGTAGCTTTAAAAAATCATCAAAATCGGAGTTAAAATAACCGTTAAATCGTGCTTTTTCGTTTATAACCGTCGAAAAGGTTTGTCCCATTGCTTGACCTCTGCATCTTTGTTTTTTGGGATTTTTGGCATACACGATCTCGAAGCATATACAAACAAGTTTGACGGTTAGATTGTTGAAACTATTTCTGTACAATGCGTATCTGATCAAAACATTAGATACACTAACAATTGGAATTTATTTATACTTTCATTGAGTATAACATAAGATTTTGTGGTATCCACTTGTGTAAATATTTTAAATTGACGATCGACTTTGTTCATTGTATTCATATAGGATCAAGGAGTGTAGCTTTAAAAAATCATCAAAATCGGAGTTAATATAACCGTTAAATTGTGCTTTTTCATTTATAGTCGTCGAAAAGGTTTTTCCCGTTACTTGATCTCTGCATCTTTGTTTTTTACGATTTTTGGCGTACACGATCTCGAAGTATATACAAACAAGTTTGACGGTTAGATCGTTGAAACTAATTTCGTACAATGCGTTTTCCATCAAAACATTAGATTCACTAACACTAGGAGTTTTTTTATACTTTCATTAAGTATAACATAAGATTTTGTGGTATCCACTTATGTAAATATTTTAAATTGACGATCAAATTAGTTCATTGTATTCATACAGGATCAAGGAGTGTAGCTTTAAAAAATCATCAAAATCGGAGTTAAAATAACCGTTAAATTGTGCTTTTTTGTTTATAGCCGTCGAAAATGTTTGTCCCGTTACTTGATCTCTGCATCTTGGTTTTTTACAATTTTTGGCGTACACGATCTCGAAGTATATACAAACAAGTTTGACGGTTAGATCGTTGAAACTAATTTCGTACAATGCGTTTCCCACCAAAACATTAGATTCACTAACACTTGAAGTTTTTTTATATTTTCATTAAGTATAACATAAGATTTTGTGGTATCCACTTATGTAAATATTTTAAATTGACGATCGAATTAGTTCATTGTATTCATACAGGATAGAATTAGTTCATTGAATGATATATATGTAAAAGATATTATTGTGGATTTTTGTTAGAAAAATATATTACTGTGGGGTTTATCTAAAAAAAATTGAATTTGAAATGAAGAAAGTCACATTTTCAGTAATTTTTATATCTAAATAAAATATATCACAAGTCATCTTCTGTGAGGAAGCCAGAAAGGTATTTTTGAGTTATATATTATCATGGATTGGTATATATTTTTCTCTCTTTCTTTTATGTTGATCATATGGTTTAATTACACAAATATTAATTATTTTTGGTTCCACATGCATGCAGTTCACATTTAATGTAATAGTGAAGCAAGTGCTAGGTTTAACCCCAGATGAGCCACAGACTACACAAATTCTTGAAGATTTCCAGACTTTCATGAGAGGGCTCATTTCTCTTCCTCTCCATATTCCTGGAACTCCATATGCTAGAGCTGTTAAGGTACCTAATATACGAATAATGTTTTACGCGAACTTGTTTTGCAAAACAATGTTTATTTTGCCAAACTGTGAATCAGAATCATAAATTTAAATAAAAATCAACATAATTAATGATTGTAAGTATGTTTATATATATTGTTAAATAGTCTAACAAGAGAACATTTTCCTCCAAAATAAAAGTCTCTATATCTTTTTAATACAAAACCAGCTACGTGTATGGGCTCTCTTCTTGTTTATTACAAAAAAGCAGCTAGGCATGTAGTGTGAGAATTATTATTTCTCTTTACAGGCTAGAAAGAGGATATCTTCAACTGTGAAAGCAATCATAGAGGAAAGAAGAAGAAATGCAGATGGGAGCACTAATTATTGTACTAAAAGAAGTGATTTCCTTGAGATACTTCTGGAAGTTGATACCATATCTGAAGATGAGAAAGCGAGTTTTGTCTTGGATTCTCCATTGGGTGGCTATGAAACCACCTCTCTCTTGATGGCCATGGTAGTTTATTTTCTAGCCCAATCACCATCTGCTTTACAACGATTAAAGGTAATTAATTACCCAAAAACACTTATCTCCTCTTTCATACAAAGCTTAATTAATAAGTTACATTTGATTAACTTTCTTTAATATATCAATTATTTATAATTAATTTCTCGTTTTTGGCTTAGACAAAATGATATTAATTTTTTAATATTTTATTTTTTGATATACAAGTAGAGGATCAGAACATTAGAAGAGTGACATTTTTACCAGTTTTACCAGTTTTGTGCAACTTTCTGCAAATTATTTAATTCCATCTGGCTGGAAAGTTTTACCAGTTTTGATTTTATTTTATTCCTTGGATTGTTTTATTTTCGTTTGATTTTATTTTATTCCAGATTCTTAATCTTGTTTTGTTTCTTGTTTTAGGTACTAGTTTATGACTCGGAGTTCTCATCCGATTTGTGAACATATCCTGGAGTGATTGGGTTCTTCGTCCGGCTGCAAGACGTAAAAGAAAGCGCTACTTGGGAGGCAACCCAATGCATTGAATAAAACAAAGCATGTTCATTTATTTTCGAGAATTACAAGTGCGGAAAAAAAAAATAATGTATCTAACAAAGCATGTTCATGTTGGACACAGAGCCTGCGCACTGAACACTAAGAGCCAGGGACTCTTGAACGGCCAACTCATCGGACCGTCCTGAAAGCAGCTGACTATCTCTGGGAGTGAGGAGGTTCCGAGTTTAGGAATGCAAATCTGGTTATGGAGTGTAAATTCCATCTTCTCCTTGGTGATTGCAGTGAGGCTTCATCGTGAGTTTTTCCACAGGTTACTCTTGAAATGAGCTGGAGATTCTTTTGGTTTCATCCGATCGTTGATTTTCCTTTGTGCTACTCTTGAACTGGGCAGCAGGATTCTTTTGGTCTCCCCCGAAGGTCTGAGCTTACTCCTTTTATCTGTTTCTTTGTTCAATCTCTCCAATTCGTATTGAAGAGGGTTAGAGGATAGCTCAGCATATGCTTGTCTCCTCATGCTTCAATGTATCTTTTTCCTTTGCCTTACTTGCTCCCCTTTGCAGAAGTGGTCCCTTCTCTGGAAGTGTATCAACCGTTGAAGATGACTACTGAAGAGCAACGCTAGGTAAGCAACCAGGGAATAGAGTCCAGGTAGACTCCAAGTGCCGGCTGATTGCTTCTTTCACTTTGCCATGCAAGTAATATGTAGGACAAAGGAAAAGACAGGGAAAGAGCATGATATGAGATACCTTTGCTTTCGCCCTTGATGATATGAGATACCTTTGCTTTCGAAGAGGCAGCGAATGAATCTACATGCTTCGATCCACCGTTTCCTCTTGCCTCCTTTGTATTCCAGGCATTTGGTATCTTCTTTGGGGGATACATCCATGGTTGAAAATGTGTTCTCAAGAGAAGGAGAAAACTGAGCATGTTTGTGCGGGTTGGTTGCAGCTTACATTTTCGGCCGAGAAGGAAAGTTATGCGTTTGTGGGTGTATGCCTTGCCATGAATGTTGATGTATATAGGAATTGTAATGGCAAATGGCAGTGCGGATGCGGCAATGTCTTCCACGCGTCTTCTGAAAAGCCGGGAGCTTTTGACAAAGTGGCACGCGTCTTCTGAAAAGCCGGGAGCTTTTGACAAAGTTGCACTCGCTTTCTGGAAAGCCGGGAGCTTTCGGCTTTGTCACGCACGTTTGTCGGCTAAAGTGTGCAGCTGATTTCTCGCCTTCCACGCGTCTTCTGAAAAGCCGGGAGCTTTTGACAAAGTGGCACACGCTTTCTGAAAAGCCTGGATTGCGTCTGAAGAGCTGGCGATCTTTACGCCGGGAAATCCGGTTTTGAAGAGTGGTGTCTCTTCATTTCTGAATCGGTGAACGCCTCTTCTTTAATAGAGGTGATCGATCACCTCTATCATGCACACTCTGAAGATTGCCCAGAAATCATCTCCGGCCCGTCGAGATTTTATTCCATCCAACCTTCTCTTTTAACTTCTTGAAAAATGGCCAGCTCATCTAACCCATCGAACATTTGCTTAGATTTGAGTCTAAGCAGTGATCCTCTTACAGTTGAGGATAAGGTATGGTGCCCGTCTTTCTTATCTTCTCATGGCCCTCTTACAGTTGAGGACTCTGTGATGACGGATGCAACAACGGCCACGATAGTAGCTCGGAACCTCCTCACTCCCAAAGATAATCAGCTGCTTTCTGGACGGTCCGATGAGTTGGCCGTTCAAGAGTCCTTGGCTCTTAGCGTTCAGTGCGCTGGCTCTGTGTCCAACATAGGCCAACGCCTTCTTGCTCGCTCCCGTCAGGTTGAATCCTTGATGGCGGAGGTGGAGAGTCTTAAGCAGGAGATCAAACAGCTTAAGTACGAGAACCGAAGTTTGCACGTGCTTGCCAACAATTATTCGACAGGCATGAAGAGGAAGCTTGATGAGCTTGATGACCGTCAAAGGCTTGCAGCTTTCTTCCAGAGGCACCTTTTTCCTGGGTTATCCAGCGTTCCACCAAGGCTTGGGGCCTTGAATGATCTATCTTCGGTGCCTCCTGCTCCTATGCCTCCTGCTCCGATGCCTCCTGCTCCGATGCCTTACGCTCCGAGAGTGTTGCCACGTAGTGGGGCCTCACGTACACAACCCTTGTGAAGGCTCCATCTTTCTCTTTCTTTGTTAGATACAATTGTAATTTCTCGAAATAGACAGTGGGTAATATTTGGTTAAAGTCCACACGCAATAGACTACTATCACTTTCTATTTCTCTCCAATTGTCTTATCCTACAAATCCTAAAATTAATAAGCATCTTAATGGAAGAAGACTTACATCATCTTATTAATCAACTACATGCATATGCATGCATGCCTTTCTGATACATGCATGATGCATGTCCAACAACACGTTAATTTGTTTTGACAATGATATCAATTAATAGTCCTATTTAAAATGGTAATGAGTTACAAATCTATGATAATTATGTTCCTTTCTCTTCTGAACATCACCATATACTTCTTTGGTCAAATTCCGTTGATATTTTGTGTAGAAATTTTTAAAATGCTTTAATTGATTACCATATATAAAATGAGAGAGTGATGTGAACCTTTAATTGATTACCATATATAAAATGAGAGAGTGATGTGAACCTTTAATTGCTTTAATTGATTACCAACTACTTCCACCACGGACTAGTTAAAAGAATTAGTTTTTTTCCAAGTGTAGGGATTATACCTAAATGGAATTAGTTTTTTTCCAAGTGTAGGGATTATACCTAAATGGGATTATACCTAAATGGAATTAATTGCTTAACTATAATTTATGATTTCTAATCATTTCTAGTTGTTAGGGTAAAGTAATGACTAATTCAATCTTGCTAACTTTCTTCTGTCTTCTACTATTGTCAAAAGGGAGATTGTAAGTTTGAACCGCACACTATTTTTCTCCTTCTCACTTATCCACGTATCTCTATACTTTTTGTCATTGAATTATAAATCAAACAGACGATGAGAAGAAAAACTATATTGTTATCATTCTCCTTGTCAAAATCATCCCACTGCATATGGAACAAATAACGTTAACTCAACCAAAAACACAATGTTGATGCCTTATACAAATTAAGGGGAACTCTTTCTTAAAATAAAACATACACACTTGTAAAATTGAAAAAAAAAAAAAATTGCGTGCCTTAATGTAGATAAGCACTCATTACATTCAAGTTATGCAGTGATGCTCATCTCTTTTTTCTTCCCATTCATCATTGTTTTTACCGAATAAGAAATGGCAAAGCAAATAAAACAAAGAATGGGGTGGCAGATCACTCTCTGTCGGGTTGTATATCTTAATACTTTAATTAATTCCATTTAGGTATAATCCTCGAGCCATTGGAGTTTCTAAAAAAACTAATTATTGTTTTTACCCTTTAATTATAATCATTGTTCTTACAAAACTTGCGGATCTGGTTGACTCACAGTCACAGTGTATCTGCTTCGACCTCACCAAAACTTGAGAATTGCTCTCTCTCTCTCTCTCTCTCTCTCTCTCTCTCTCTCTCTCTCTCTCTCTCTCTCTCTCTCTCTCTCTCCTTCCACGCTCGCTCCGGCCTTCATTGTTGCTTTCATCTGGTATGCAAAAACTTTCCCTTTTTCTACTTTGTTCATCCGATTGCTCTGCAGCCAAAAGAGCATGATTTTTCTTTTCTAGCCCAGCACCAACTCTACATTCCTCCATATCACGTCTTTCTTCTCTGTTTCTATATCTGTGTTTTGTAATTTTTATTTTAAATTCATACATACAGATGGTTTCTATATCTCTGTTTCTATATCTGTTTCTATATCTGTGTTTTGTAATTTCTATATCTGTGTTTTGTAATTTCTCCTCTCCTCTCTTTCGGCTGCAAAGGCAACCATCAAAACATAAAGGACCAAAACCAAAGTTTCCTTTTCCCTTTTTTCTTCCCCAAAACAAGGAATGATGTCCACCTTTTTTCTTTTCCTTTGTTTACTAACCGAGAGTGGATGCCAAGTTGGCCATTAATTTGTCCAAAATTATAACTTTTCTTTTTACTTCTTGATTGAACATTGTTTTTAACGCGTATTCTGAGTGATCAGTTTCACATATTGGAGGTAAGCTAGGTTGAGAGTTCTTAGATATAAAACTTATAGTTAATGATATCCTTTAGCATATCAAGGGCGAAGTATATCAATGTTCCAAGTATGAAGCTGCTTGTTTAGTTTCTTGAACCATTGGTTTTTTAAATAATCTTGTATTGATATTATTGCTCTAATTACTTATATTACTTTGGTTGCTAATTTATTAGTTTGAAATGCAAGAAAGGATTAGTTTCTAATGTCATATTTTTTATGGTTCAAAAAGTGTATAGATGTCGCAGTTGATCACTCCTCGTTGGAGTGTGTCCAATGCGGCTCCTACATCATCAGCATCTACTCCAGGCGTGAGTGCTCCAGGCGTGAGTGCTCAGGTGCCCGTATCATCAACATCATCAGTGTCGGTTCAACCTCTCAGTGCACGGCGGCCTCACCGTCGCCGCCGCGAGCTGGAGCCTGGTGATCACGCTTCCTCCTCCTCCGGAGTCAATGGTGGGGCCTCCCAACCAGGTAGTTTTTTTTTTCTAATTCTCACTACATTGTATTTTTTTTTTCTATTTTAAAACTATTATTTTATGATTGTGAAAATTTGTTGGATTGTGAAAATGTGTTGCGGGTTGTGAATTACTGTTTTAAGGTTTTGGGAAATGATATACTATTAGGGGAGGTTTTGCCTAATTTTTTGTACAAATTTAAGCTTTTTACCATTTAAGTTTTTTTGGGCAGCTAAAAAAAACACCAGGGGGCCTAATCGAATGCTAAAGGAGGCACAGGCTGTACGTATGTCCGCCTCCTTGATCAAGATTGCATATGACTCGCAACATCGTGGAGCGGCTACCTCACAGCAGCATAGTAGCGTTGTTACTAGCTGTGGTTATGTTATTCGGAATTGTTGTCCTATGCGGTGGGAGTCTTGGGCACAAATTCCCGAGGAGACGAAGAAACTGGTGCGAGACAAGTTGTCGGTTAGTAAATTAATTTTTAGCCCTTATCATTTTTTTTTTAAATTTTGTTTACAAATATTATAAACCAAAGTATATTATCTTAATATTATTAAATTTCTTAATATTATTTTATTGTTTTTCATATTTGTAGGTCAATTTTGATGTTAAGGACTTATCCCCTGAGGTCAGTGCCTACTTAGAGGGGACCTTAGCAAACCGGTACAAAGATTGGAAGAGCGCTTTTCACATGCATTTTCAGCTATGGGATGATCCGGAGATTGCTCGCCTAGAGGGTTGCCCAAACGAGTTGAGGGACCGGCCAGAGGATTGGGAGTGGCTCTGTAAACATTTTATGGATCCAAAATTTGTGGTATGTACATAATACTTTAATAATAATTTACTGTTTTTGTTATCTTTTTAAGCTTTTTTTAATAATTTCATTCAAATAATCGCACTAACATGTATATTGTATGTTTAACAGAAGAAATCTATTGCTGGCAAGAAAGCTCGGGACTCAAAGACACTTCTCCACCAATAGATTTATTCTGTTAAACATACAATAGATTTCTTGCCAGCAATAGATTTCTTCTGTTAAACATACAATATACATGTTAGTGCGATTATTTGAATGAAATTATTAAAAAAAGCTTAAAAAGATAACAAAAACAGTAAATTATTATTAAAGTATTATGTACATACCACAAATTTTGGATCCATAAAATGTTTACAGAGCCACTCCCAATCCTCTGGCCGGTCCCTCAACTCGTTTGGGCAACCCTCTAGGCGAGCAATCTCCGGATCATCCCATAGCTGAAAATGCGTGTGAAAAGCGCTCTTCCAATCTTTGTACCGGTTTGCTAAGGTCCCCTCTAAGTAGGCACTGACCTCAGGGGATAAGTCCTTAACATCAAAATTGACCTACAAATATGAAAACAATAAAATAATATTAAGAAATTTAATAATATTAAGATAATATACTTTGGTTTATAATATTTGTAAACAAAATTTTAAAAAAAAATGATAAGGGCTAAAAATTAATTTACTAACCGACAACTTGTCTCGCACCAGTTTCTTCGTCTCCTCGGGAATTTGTGCCCAAGACTCCCACCGCATAGGACAACAATTCCGAATAACATAACCACAACTAGTAACAACGCTACTATGCTGCTGTGAGGTAGCCGCTCCACGATGTTGCGAGTCATATGCAATCTTGATCAAGGAGGCGGACATACGTACAGCCTGTGCCTCCTTTAGCATTCGATTAGGCCCCCTGGTGTTTTTTTTAGCTGCCCAAAAAAACTTAAATGGTAAAAAGCTTAAATTTGTACAAAAAATTAGGCAAAACCTCCCCTAATAGTATATCATTTCCCAAAACCTTAAAACAGTAATTCACAACCCGCAACACATTTTCACAATCCAACAAATTTTCACAATCATAAAATAATAGTTTTAAAATAGAAAAAAAAATACAATGTAGTGAGAATTAGAAAAAAAAACTACCTGGTTGGGAGGCCCCACCATTGACTCCGGAGGAGGAGGAAGCGTGATCACCAGGCTCCAGCTCGCGGCGGCGACGGTGAGGCCGCCGTGCACTGAGAGGTTGAACTGACACTGATGATGTTGATGATACGGGCACCTGAGCACTCACGCCTGGAGCACTCACGCCTGGAGTAGATGCTGATGATGTAGGAGCCGCATTGGACACACTCTAACGAGGAGTGATCAACTGCGACATCTATACACTTTTTGAACCATAAAAAATATGACATTAGAAACTAATCCTTTCTTGCATTTCAAACTAATAAATTAGCAACCAAAGTAATATAAGTAATTAGAGCAATAATATCAATACAAGATTATTTAAAAAACCAATGGTTCAAGAAACTAAACAAGCAGCTTCATACTTGGAACATTGATATACTTCGCCCTTGATATGGTAAAGGATATCATTAACTATAAGTTTTATATCTAAGAACTCTCAACCTAGCTTACCTCCAATATGTGAAACTGATCACTCAGAATACGCGTTAAAAACAATGTTCAATCAAGAAGTAAAAAGAAAAGTTATAATTTTGGACAAATTAATGGCCAACTTGGCATCCACTCTCGGTTAGTAAACAAAGGAAAAGAAAAAAGGTGGACATCATTCCTTGTTTTGGGGAAGAAAAAAGGGAAAAGGAAACTTTGGTTTTGGTTCTTTATGTTTTGATGGTTGCCTTTGCAGCCGAAAGAGAGGAGAGGAGAAATTACAAAACACAGATATAGAAATTACAAAACACAGATATAGAAACAGATATAGAAACAGAGATATAGAAACCATCTGTATGTATGAATTTAAAATAAAAATTACAAAACACAGATATAGAAACAGAGAAGAAAGACGTGATATGGAGGAATGTAGAGTTGGTGCTGGGCTAGAAAAGAAAAATCATGCTCTTTTGGCTGCAGAGCAATCGGATGAACAAAGTAGAAAAAGGGAAAGTTTTTGCATACCAGATGAAAGCAACAATGAAGGCCGGAGCGAGCGTGGAAGGAGAGAGAGAGAGAGAGAGAGAGAGAGAGCAATTCTCAAGTTTTGGTGAGGTCGAAGCAGATACACTGTGACTGTGAGTCAACCAGATCCGCAAGTTTTGTAAGAACAATGATTATAATTAAAGGGTAAAAACAATAATTAGTTTTTTTAGAAACTCCAATGGCTCGAGGATTATACCTAAATGGAATTAATTAAAGTATTAAGATATACAACCCGACAGAGAGTGATCTGCCACCCCATTCTTTGTTTTATTTGCTTTGCCATTTCTTATTCGGTAAAAACAATGATGAATGGGAAGAAAAAAGAGATGAGCATCACTGCATAACTTGAATGTAATGAGTGCTTATCTACATTAAGGCACGCAATTTTTTTTTTTTCAATTTTACAAGTGTGTATGTTTTATTTTAAGAAAGAGTTCCCCTTAATTTGTATAAGGCATCAACATTGTGTTTTTGGTTGAGTTAACGTTATTTGTTCCATATGCAGTGGGATGATTTTGACAAGGAGAATGATAACAATATAGTTTTTCTTCTCATCGTCTGTTTGATTTATAATTCAATGACAAAAAGTATAGAGATACGTGGATAAGTGAGAAGGAGAAAAATAGTGTGCGGTTCAAACTTACAATCTCCCTTTTGACAATAGTAGAAGACAGAAGAAAGTTAGCAAGATTGAATTAGTCATTACTTTACCCTAACAACTAGAAATGATTAGAAATCATAAATTATAGTTAAGCAATTAATTCCATTTAGGTATAATCCCATTTAGGTATAATCCCTACACTTGGAAAAAAACTAATTCCATTTAGGTATAATCCCTACACTTGGAAAAAAACTAATTCTTTTAACTAGTCCGTGGTGGAAGTAGTTGGTAATCAATTAAAGCAATTAAAGGTTCACATCACTCTCTCATTTTATATATGGTAATCAATTAAAGGTTCACATCACTCTCTCATTTTATATATGGTAATCAATTAAAGCATTTTAAAAATTTCTACACAAAATATCAACGGAATTTGACCAAAGAAGTATATGGTGATGTTCAGAAGAGAAAGGAACATAATTATCATAGATTTGTAACTCATTACCATTTTAAATAGGACTATTAATTGGTATCATTGTCAAAACAAATTAACGTGTTGTTGGACATGCATCATGCATGTATCAGAAAGACATGCATGCATATGCATGTAGTTGATTAATAAGATGATGTAAGTCTTCTTCCATTAAGATGCTTATTAATTTTAGGATTTGTAGGATAAGACAATTGGAGAGAAATAGAAAGTGATAGTAGTCTATTGCGTGTGGACTTTAACCAAATATTACCCACTGTCTATTTCGAGAAATTACAATTGTATCTAACAAAGAAAGAGAAAGATGGAGCCTTCACAAGGGTTGTGTACATGAGGCCCCACTACGTGGCAACACTCTCGGAGCATAAGGCATCGGAGCAGGAGGCATCGGAGCAGGAGGCATAGGAGCAGGAGGCACCGAAGATAGATCATTCAAGGCCCCAAGCCTTGGTGGAACGCTGGATAACCCAGGAAAAAGGTGCCTCTGGAAGAAAGCTGCAAGCCTTTGACGGTCATCAAGCTCATCAAGCTTCCTCTTCATGCCTGTCGAATAATTGTTGGCAAGCACGTGCAAACTTCGGTTCTCGTACTTAAGCTGTTTGATCTCCTGCTTAAGACTCTCCACCTCCGCCATCAAGGATTCAACCTGACGGGAGCGAGCAAGAAGGCGTTGGCCCATGTTGGACACAGAGCCAGCGCACTGAACGCTAAGAGCCAAGGACTCTTGAACGGCCAACTCATCGGACCGTCCAGAAAGCAGCTGACTATCTTTGGGAGTGAGGAGGTTCCGAGCTACTATCGTGGCCGTTGTTGCATCCGTCATCACAGAGTCCTCAACTGTAAGAGGGCCATGAGAAGATAAGAAAGACGGGCACCATACCTTATCCTCAACTGTAAGAGGATCACTGCTTAGACTCAAATCTAAGCAAATGTTCGATGGGTTAGATGAGCTGGCCATTTTTCAAGAAGTTAAAAGAGAAGGTTGGATGGAATAAAATCTCGACGGGCCGGAGATGATTTCTGGGCAATCTTCAGAGTGTGCATGATAGAGGTGATCGATCACCTCTATTAAAGAAGAGGCGTTCACCGATTCAGAAATGAAGAGACACCACTCTTCAAAACCGGATTTCCCGGCGTAAAGATCGCCAGCTCTTCAGACGCAATCCAGGCTTTTCAGAAAGCGTGTGCCACTTTGTCAAAAGCTCCAGGCTTTTCAGAAGACGCGTGGAAGGCGAGAAATCAGCTGCACACTTTAGCCGACAAACGTGCGTGACAAAGCCGAAAGCTCCCGGCTTTCCAGAAAGCGAGTGCAACTTTGTCAAAAGCTCCCGGCTTTTCAGAAGACGCGTGCCACTTTGTCAAAAGCTCCCGGCTTTTCAGAAGACGCGTGGAAGACATTGCCGCATCCGCACTGCCATTTGCCATTACAATTCCTATATACATCAACATTCATGGCAAGGCATACACCCACAAACGCATAACTTTCCTTCTCGGCCGAAAATGTAAGCTGCAACCAACCCGCACAAACATGCTCAGTTTTCTCCTTCTCTTGAGAACACATTTTCAACCATGGATGTATCCCCCAAAGAAGATACCAAATGCCTGGAATACAAAGGAGGCAAGAGGAAACGGTGGATCGAAGCATGTAGATTCATTCGCTGCCTCTTCGAAAGCAAAGGTATCTCATATCATCAAGGGCGAAAGCAAAGGTATCTCATATCATGCTCTTTCCCTGTCTTTTCCTTTGTCCTACATATTACTTGCATGGCAAAGTGAAAGAAGCAATCAGCCGGCACTTGGAGTCTACCTGGACTCTATTCCCTGGTTGCTTACCTAGCGTTGCTCTTCAGTAGTCATCTTCAACGGTTGATACACTTCCAGAGAAGGGACCACTTCTGCAAAGGGGAGCAAGTAAGGCAAAGGAAAAAGATACATTGAAGCATGAGGAGACAAGCATATGCTGAGCTATCCTCTAACCCTCTTCAATACGAATTGGAGAGATTGAACAAAGAAACAGATAAAAGGAGTAAGCTCAGACCTTCGGGGGAGACCAAAAGAATCCTGCTGCCCAGTTCAAGAGTAGCACAAAGGAAAATCAACGATCGGAGGAAACCAAAAGAATCTCCAGCTCATTTCAAGAGTAACCTGTGGAAAAACTCACGATGAAGCCTCACTGCAATCACCAAGGAGAAGATGGAATTTACACTCCATAACCAGATTTGCATTCCTAAACTCGGAACCTCCTCACTCCCAGAGATAGTCAGCTGCTTTCAGGACGGTCCGATGAGTTGGCCGTTCAAGAGTCCCTGGCTCTTAGTGTTCAGTGCGCAGGCTCTGTGTCCAACATGAACATGCTTTGTTAGATACATTATTTTTTTTTTTTCCGCACTTGTAATTCTCGAAAATAAATGAACATGCTTTGTTTTATTCAATGCATTGGGTTGCCTCCCAAGTAGCGCTTTCTTTTACGTCTTGCAGCCGGACGAAGAACCCAATCACTCCAGGATATGTTCACGAATCGGATGAGAACTCCGAGTCATAAACTAGTACCTAAAACAAGAAACAAAACAAGATTAAGAATCTGGAATAAAATAAAATCAAACGAAAATAAAACAATCCAAGGAATAAAATAAAATCAAAACTGGTAAAACTTTCCAGCCAGATGGAATTAAATAATTTGCAGAAAGTTGCACAAAACTGGTAAAACTGGTAAAAATGTCACTCTTCTAATGTTCTGATCCTCTACTTGTATATCAAAAAATAAAATATTAAAAAATTAATATCATTTTGTCTAAGCCAAAAACGAGAAATTAATTATAAATAATTGATATATTAAAGAAAGTTAATCAAATGTAACTTATTAATTAAGCTTTGTATGAAAGAGGAGATAAGTGTTTTTGGGTAATTAATTACCTTTAATCGTTGTAAAGCAGATGGTGATTGGGCTAGAAAATAAACTACCATGGCCATCAAGAGAGAGGTGGTTTCATAGCCACCCAATGGAGAATCCAAGACAAAACTCGCTTTCTCATCTTCAGATATGGTATCAACTTCCAGAAGTATCTCAAGGAAATCACTTCTTTTAGTACAATAATTAGTGCTCCCATCTGCATTTCTTCTTCTTTCCTCTATGATTGCTTTCACAGTTGAAGATATCCTCTTTCTAGCCTGTAAAGAGAAATAATAATTCTCACACTACATGCCTAGCTGCTTTTTTGTAATAAACAAGAAGAGAGCCCATACACGTAGCTGGTTTTGTATTAAAAAGATATAGAGACTTTTATTTTGGAGGAAAATGTTCTCTTGTTAGACTATTTAACAATATATATAAACATACTTACAATCATTAATTATGTTGATTTTTATTTAAATTTATGATTCTGATTCACAGTTTGGCAAAATAAACATTGTTTTGCAAAACAAGTTCGCGTAAAACATTATTCGTATATTAGGTACCTTAACAGCTCTAGCATATGGAGTTCCAGGAATATGGAGAGGAAGAGAAATGAGCCCTCTCATGAAAGTCAGGAAATCTTCAAGAATTTGTGTAGTCTGTGGCTCATCTGGGGTTAAACCTAGCACTTGCTTCACTATTACATTAAATGTGAACTGCATGCATGTGGAACCAAAAATAATTAATATTTGTGTAATTAAACCATATGATCAACATAAAAGAAAGAGAGAAAAATATATACCAATCCATGATAATATATAACTCAAAAATACCTTTCTGGCTTCCTCACAGAAGATGACTTGTGATATATTTTATTTAGATATAAAAATTACTGAAAATGTGACTTTCTTCATTTCAAATTCAATTTTTTTTAGATAAACCCCACAGTAATATATTTTTCTAACAAAAATCCACAATAATATCTTTTACATATATATCATTCAATGAACTAATTCTATCCTGTATGAATACAATGAACTAATTCGATCGTCAATTTAAAATATTTACATAAGTGGATACCACAAAATCTTATGTTATACTTAATGAAAATATAAAAAAACTTCAAGTGTTAGTGAATCTAATGTTTTGGTGGGAAACGCATTGTACGAAATTAGTTTCAACGATCTAACCGTCAAACTTGTTTGTATATACTTCGAGATCGTGTACGCCAAAAATTGTAAAAAACCAAGATGCAGAGATCAAGTAACGGGACAAACATTTTCGACGGCTATAAACAAAAAAGCACAATTTAACGGTTATTTTAACTCCGATTTTGATGATTTTTTAAAGCTACACTCCTTGATCCTGTATGAATACAATGAACTAATTTGATCGTCAATTTAAAATATTTACATAAGTGGATACCACAAAATCTTATGTTATACTTAATGAAAGTATAAAAAAACTCCTAGTGTTAGTGAATCTAATGTTTTGATGGAAAACGCATTGTACGAAATTAGTTTCAACGATCTAACCGTCAAACTTGTTTGTATATACTTCGAGATCGTGTACGCCAAAAATCGTAAAAAACAAAGATGCAGAGATCAAGTAACGGGAAAAAACCTTTTCGACGGCTATAAATGAAAAAGCACAATTTAACGGTTATATTAACTCCGATTTTGATGATTTTTTAAAGCTACACTCCTTGATCCTATATGAATACAATGAACAAAGTCGATCGTCAATTTAAAATATTTACACAAGTGGATACCACAAAATCTTATGTTATACTCAATGAAAGTATAAATAAATTCCAATTGTTAGTGTATCTAATGTTTTGATCAGATACGCATTGTACAGAAATAGTTTCAACAATCTAACCGTCAAACTTGTTTGTATATGCTTCGAGATCGTGTATGCCAAAAATCCCAAAAAACAAAGATGCAGAGGTCAAGCAATGGGACAAACCTTTTCGACGGTTATAAACGAAAAAGCACGATTTAACGGTTATTTTAACTCCGATTTTGATGATTTTTTAAAGCTACACTCCTTGATCCTATATGAATACAATGAACAAAGTCGATCGTCAATTTAAAATATTTACACAAGTGAATACCACAAAATCTTATGTTATACTCAATGAAAGTATAAATAAACTCCAATTGTTAGTGAATCTAATGTTTTGATCAGATATGCATTGTACGAAACTAGTTTCAATAATCCAACCGTCAAACTTGTTTGTATATGCTTCGAGATCGTGTACGCCAAAAATCACAAAAACAAACATGCAGAAATTAGGTAAGGGGACAAACCTTTTTTATGGCTATAAATGAAAAATCATGATTTAACGGTTATTTTAACTCCGATTTTGATGATTTTTTTACAACTACACTCTTTAACCCTATATAAATATAATGAACTAATTCGATCATCAATTTAAAACATTTACACAAGTGGATACCACAAAGAAAAAGGCAATGCAAGAACACCAAAGAAAAAAAAAAAAAAAAAAAAAAGACTTTGCACGACGTTCATGCCCTGCGTCGTGCAAAACGGCTTTGCGCGACGCAGGTGGGCATACGTCGTGCAAAACAGCTTTGCGCGACGCCAGTCTTCGTCACTCAAAGATGTTTTGCGCGACGCATATAATCCTACGTCGCGCAAAGCTGTTTTGCGCGACACATAAGGACCTACGTCGCGCAAAGTCAACGAAAAACGCGGTAAACCTTCTTGGTTTGGCGCCAAAAGTTTGGCAACGAATGACGGCGTCGCGCAAAGCAGTTTTGCGCGACGTATGCCCACCTGCGTCGCGCAAAGCTGTTTTGCACAACTCTTTATTCGTCGCGCAAAGTACCGTTGCGCAAAGTACGTTTGCGCGACGTTTTGTGTTATACGTCGCGCAAACGGACTTTGCGCTACAAAATTTTCTTCGTCGCGCAAACATGTTTTTCTACTAGTGGGTGTTATTATTTTGCATGTGCATTTTGGGGAAGCTTTAGCCAAAGAATCTCTAATGTTAAAGTTATAATTCTGAAAAGAATGTATTTAGGAGTTTGCGGGTTGCAAATGACTTAGTATTTTAGTGGGATAAGAGGGGTATTTATAAGAGAGTGGTCGGCCCTTAGGGTGAGGAGTGGTGGCCTTTTATGGTGTATTTGGGTGATAATTGCAAGATATTATGCAAAAATAATATCTTACAATTAACATAGCAAATATTCCTAATTTAAATAGAAAGTTTTGGGAGTTACCTTTTGAATAAAATCCGTAAGGGATTGATAAAGAGTGATGAGAGGAATGTGGAATAAATTTCATATTGATCACCTTTGACTCTTTCTTGATTGAGTCGTTATTGTTCGTTGCATGCGCTTGGGAATCGCAGTGTACCTCAAGGTTAATCTTGTCTTTTTAACCCAAAAATCGACGTGTCGTCTCCATATTTTTTGGATTATTTTTTGCTCCACAGTGATCAGCACATGATTCAATCAATAGGGGTAAAGTGTGCTAGTATTTGACGGAAAAGTTAATGAAATTTCATCGAATTGTAAGAATTCTATGTGGACTCAACTAGTTATAGATAAAGGAGAAATAATATGTTGGTAATACAAATTAATAAGAGTTTGGATACGTAGAAAGCTACATCATATAATTGAGGGGTATACTTTCATTGTGCATTTGAAAGGAAGCACTAATCACAACCACCTCTACATGATAGGGATTTGAAGCAAAAAAAAAAAAAAAATAATAACCAACCCTCCATGATAGATGGGAGTTGGCTGCCATTGCTTCTATAAGTGCAAGAGTTCCCTGCTCACAGAGAAATACGTTCAACATTCTTGGCTCTATCACCATCTGAACATAAGGTCTCTTAGTGGTAGAAGCATGCAAGGGCTTATTGAGAGGTATACATTGCTTTGTTTTTTTATTATGGCAGAAGCATGCAAGGGCTTATTGAGAGGTACATGAAGATGAAGCCCACCCGAGCACCTCAGACAGAGCAAACCATGGAAACACAAACTCTGGTACAATACCTCTTGCTGTTTAATTTGTCGCTTATTTTCCAATTTATGTCATTTATTTGTTTCATCAATGATTTCTCATATTTATTTTTATCAAAAAATAATTCTCATGCTATATACACATAGTTCTAAGGAAAACACACACACACACGAAATTGTTGTGCCATTCATTATTATTCCTAAAGCTAGTGCAGCATCAGATGCTGGTTATGAATGATTCTTACTAGATTACAAAAATTAATTAGATACACAACATACACGCTTAGCTAGAAAAATACAAGAAAAAAATAAACAAAATAGCACATATATACATGATAATGTTCCTCAAATCACAACTTCTTTTTGAAAGACCGAACAATATCAGACACCTAATTGCAGGAATCTTGAATATACAAATAAATACAAACTAAATATACACACACACATATATATATATATATGCGAGTACAGTAAACTCAAGTGTTAACTAGTATTTTAATACATAGCTAACCACTCATGTTCATGTATGCATGCATATATGACATTACGTATGAATACATATTTCTAATTGGATAATGCTTGTGTTCTTTTGTGGGGAAACCTACTTGTTTCTTCACTTTTAATTAATATAACTTGTAGAAACTTCATAATTGCAATCGTTCATACTCTTTACACTACAAGAATTGTAAGTATTAAAGGCAATTTTATTAGGGGCATTTATCATAGATTTTCGCCTCTAAAAAGGAGTGGCGAATAACATAATCGCCTCTAAAAGTGGCGTCACTAATACTATTTCCGCATTTAATCATGATTATTTCCGCTCCTACTGTTTTGCTGGCAATTAAGCAATAAAGACATTTAATTCTGCATCTATTGTATTATTATAATATTATTAATAATATTAACAAATATTACAATTTAATGCTATAAATAAATAATTGGACCTGTATCAATTGAAAAACGTTTTCATTCCCCGTAAATGATATTATTAATAGGTTTCTTTCCTGTTAAATTTTTTGGTTCAAATATAATGCATCATCTGGGATCAATACCATCAAAGGTAGAATCAAAATTCAATTTTCATTCAAAACTCTTTAGATATACAAGATTAAGCTTCGATCGATAGTTACCAAAAAAAAAAAAAAAAAACTTCGATCGACATGTGATGGAAAATACATATAAAAATCAGAAAGTAGTACATAAGGGACTTTAGCAAAACTTATATCTAATCAACACCCGGTCTTTTGATTCCCAACAACAAAATGATGCGTCTTCCATGATCAATTTCTACAAATACATCAAAATGATGCATCTTCCATGATCCATCTTTAATCTATTTCTGGGTAACAACATTTTCACACAAACAAGAAAAACAAAATCATATAAACAGATAAAATTAATGCAACATAATGAAAACAATGTTTGAGTAGAACTCACATGAAAAGAAACGAGGATAAACATCCACCCATCGCAATACGAATAGCAAACAAAACCTGCAAAACAAACAGAAAAATCAAACCTAATTCATCCAATCTGGATTCATGATGAAATTCATCATCTAATGTATACAAAAATAAAACAGAAAAGATAAATAAAGAACACAACCAAGAGATTTATAACCGATTTCACTTCAAATTCTTCACATCCCGTCAAATATACCTGCTAAATAGCAGATCGAGAGAAAAAAAAATTTAATCAAACGATACTGAAAGGTAGCAATATTAAGAAGCAATGAAGAAGGAAAAAAGAGAAAAAAATATCTCGGAAAGAAAGAGAGATCAGGACAAGAAATATGAAGGAAAAGGGAGATGGGGAAGTTTGTGCCGTGAAAGGAGGAGAAAATAGGGGAGATTGATGTGCGGTTATCAGAGAAATAGGGTTTTGATGATTTCTTTTATTTATTACGTTAAGGAAATATACAAAATAATTAAATATAAGTGCATACATAATCACATCCGCTCCTAATGGAAATTATTAAATTTGGAAAATATATGTTGAATTTAGAAATGTATATATTAAATTAAAGAAATATATATTAGAGGCTTACTTATCTGCCTCTAATATCTAAATTTTAATAGAGGTATTTTTTTATGCATCTAAAAGTAGTGATAGAGGCAAATATTTATTTCTGCTCCTAATGAAGATTAATAGAGGCAAATCCACATATCCGCATATAATCTAATGCCCCTAATAGTTACAATTTTTTTAGTGTTATCATCATCTAAAGATCATATTTGTAAAATATCATTCAATTTAGGGATTATTTAGATATTCATATGTATTTAACAAATGAATGGTTCATGATGAGGAATGCTACTTGGCATAAAAAATGTCGATTAGTTTGCCATGCATGGATGGTTAAACGATCTCCAAACTAAATAAGTTTTTGCAGATATAATTTTTAGATGATGATAAAGAGTTTGAATGATTGTAATTATGAAGTTCTTATGGTAAAAAATACGTTAATCATAAGTGGGGGACAAATAGGTTTTTTCTTGGGTGAACATAAGTATTATCCTTTGTAATTAATTAATTATATTTCTTACTTTATGTTATCTTTCATCTCATCTATTAGGCCAAGAGAAATGAAACCCTACATGGTGCATCTACGATAATTACAATCCTTTTGATTGACTTAGGGCATATTTACATGGATGCCATCTACGATTTTTTTTATTCTTCCTTCTAAACCTAATTTGAATTCCCTTATTGTATTGGTATATAGGATGCGAAAAAGGAGATTAACTTGATGAAACGGGAGATTGAAATACTACAAAAAGGTCTCAGGTATTACAAAGTAAAATTATGTTATCTTATTTATTATCGTGACATCAATATATGTAGAACTTATATTTGCATATTATTGTATCCATATATATTTCTAACAATTATATATGACAATTATATATGACAATAATATATATAGAGCTAAATCCATGTAATATAAAAAAAATATGAAGGGGTAGGGGAAAACTTTCAAACTATTACATTAATTTAGAAAAAAGGAAGTTTCGAATCCGAAACGCAAATACAATCAAATATCTGGTAAATTTCAATGTACCAAATTGTAATGATGACCCTTATATAAAGCACTTCATTTCTTGAACTACATCGAATAGGTTTTCAGGAGTACGTTTAAATCTAGTGAAGTCAAAAGTCTAGTTATTTTGCCACTCAGTACAACGGTCTGGGTCTAATGGTATTCCTCTTTGCTTAGAAGTAAGAAGTCTTAAGTTCGAATCTCGTGGAAATGGCGAATTCCATACCAAATTAGGTTGCTCATTGTATGACTTAGTCGAACTCCCTCTCCCACTAATGTAAAAATATTGATATACTCACAAAAAGTCTAGTTATTTTACCAAAAAAGGAAAGGGCCTGTGGTTTAAGTTAATTTAACTCAAAGATTATGAATTGGAGAAGTAAACTTTCAAGCATATCATACGTAGTAACAGGTTATTAATCAGGTATGATTAGTTTGGTAATGGTTGTAATTTTGGTTTTAAGGGAATTGGATTACATATGAAAACATTATAGGTATATATTTGATGGAGGTGCTGGGACAATGACTTTGGATGAACTACAAGTGCTTGAAAAACATCTTGAAACGTGGATTTATCATGTCCGCTCGGCAAAGGTATCGTTTTTATCCATCACTTACATTATTATTATTATTTATCGCAATCCATAAATTACATCTAAGCAACAGTTAATTATGTTATGTGTGCAGATGGACATATTGTTCCAAGAGATCCAGCTGTTGAGGAACTCGGTAAGTTTGCTCCCCAAAGTCCCTACTTACTTTTTGATGAGATCATGCATTGGTGTTGTATTGTATATAATGCGGGAGATGTTAGTACATACATCAACTTCATTAGATAAGATCCATCAATGTTCCAAAACAGTTTGGCACAATGGTTTTTTTCCATTCTTTTTGTTAAGTTTTTAATATTATATCAATGAGAAGGGGAGCGAGCGGGGGTGCAATTGGAGATGTCTACCATAGTAGTTTATAAGTTTAATTGGATCGACACTGTGATTTATGTTATTAGATTATAGCTCTCTGTTTATATAGGAAAATAATAATCACACTATTTAATCATGTTCGTTGGTTCTGCTTGATTGATTCAATTCAGTTATTATAAATAAAGAGGTGCATAGGAGAAAAAAAATGTGCGTGGTTGTCATTTCTCTTTGAATAAGTAGAAGATGTTAGAGAGGTTTTCAAAAAAATCAACTCCAATTATGCTCCTATCACCTCCTAAGATGGGATACCTCTAAGAGCTCCTAAATATGAGGGAGAAATGAGCTCCTAGTGGTTTTATGTAATTAAATGCTCCACGTTTCAGTGTTATTATTCATAAATAATTAAATTCCTATTGACTCATATTCATTGTGACTTTCTAAATTATGAAGTAAAACTTTTTTAGAGAGCTTCAAAAATAATTTTTCTCTCTTTTTAGTAAATTGAGCTATAAAAAATAGAAAACATGATTGGAGTTGCCCTCAAATCCCTATATCTAGCGTTTTAGAGTGTATTATTTCTTTTCACTAATGTTGCCTAACTCCCTTGGTACTTGAAAATCACTGGTCCAAATGCAACACCAAATTTTTTTGGAAGTGAGCTCTTCATGGCCTCCAAAGTTTTTGGCACTACAACTTGACTTCATTTGTTTTTTGTTACTTCATGAAGAATAAGGCTAGGAATCATTATCCTATCCATCAAATGCCACTTGAGTGGGCATATTCATGGCCTTTATAAAATTTCAACTTTTAATTTTGGATAATTGATTGAAATTTTATGTTAATTGATAATATTGTTGCCTTACTTTTTTTTTAATCTTCTCAAATAATTAAATTGATATTATGAAGGAAGGAATTCTGGCAGCTGCAAATAAGTATCTTCAAGATAAGGTAATCAACATTCTTATTAAAGTTTATGGTAAATTGTAGCTATTATCGCTAATTATTAGCAAATTTTCAATTTGTCCGCCAATTCAATTTGTTGAAATTTGATAATCTGCCAATTACCCTTTTTTGGCAAGATTTATGGGTAAAAAGACCCATATAATGTATATACTTATCTAACTCTTTAACTGAAGTTCTATGTTTAATTTAGAACGAAATAAAAGAGTATGATTAAGTAAATACATTGCGGGTGGTTATTTTTCCCCAAAATAATAATAAAAAAAAATTCAGACTTTGACGTTAAGGCCAAAGTGACAAAGTGTTAAATGATTGGGTATAAATTTAAAGAGCAATGTTAGGTAGACTAAACTTGCAGACAAAATTTACAAATTAAATGATATTTTACCAATAAAAAATGAGCACGTTTATCAGTACTTAAGTAATAATCTAATCATTAACTTTCATATCATTTAGTTTACAAATTTGTCTATAAATTTAGTCTTCCTACATTACTCATATTCAAAATACCAATGGAGGGGCCAAAGCTAGATATAATTAAAGCATTATTGTTACAATTACTTTTGTAAAAGTACTAAGTTTTACTTTCTAACTCATTGATCTTAAATATATTTATTTATTTTATGCAGATTGAAGTGAACACTGGAGCTAATGACTTTATGCCAATAGCAACTGACAACACATATCCACTAACCATACCAAATGATATATATGAGTTTTAGAGAAGTAACTATGCTTTATATAATGGTTTAGTATTCTTATTGCCAAGTGTGTGGTGTGGTTTAAAAATTTTCATAAATAAATGTTACTAAGAATCATCCAGCTATCTATGGCTGACAATATTGCATGCATATTGTTGTATTGTACAATATGGTATTGCTATTGAAGTGCATTGTAAGGTAATTTAATGATATGCATAATATTATGGTGTGATTTGTTATTGAGTCATCACTCTTTATTGAATGTATTTTATTTTGTGTTAATTAAATTTTACCCTCTAAGTTTGATGGTAATTTTGAGACTAATGGTCACAAGGTTTCAGAATTAGCATTTTACACAACAAGTTTTTAAAACTGTATTAATTTAAAACTTATATCTGATTAACCGTTAGGTTTGCTATTAAATAGATGATGTGAAAATTGTCTATAAGGACATGAAAAGCTTATTGACCATTATGTCGACTAATTGACCGCTAGGTCTGCTGTTAAATAGATGATGTGGAAGTTGTGATCAATCACAAAATGGCTCGATAATTCGCCAACAAAGTGTATTTATAATTTTATACGGAATGTGGTATACATTCTTGCTTAATTCCAGTGAATCATGGTGATTTTTAATAGATAACAACTTTAATAACGAAAACTTTTCAATACTTTGGGCAAAATGAAAACAAAAAAAAAATGATAAATTTTTAAGACGTGCATAATAAAAAAAAAGTCTCTCAATTTCACAATACATTACAACAATATCTTGAAAATCATAATAAAAAACAATTAACAAGACATTTTTAAGTGCGTTTAGCGTCCATGATTAAAAAACCCACGCTCGCAAGTGTCCAAAAAGACATTTATGTCCATGTCTCTGTCAATTAACATAAATTAATTTTGGGGCCTAAACACAATTCCAAAAACTGTGTTTTACACTTTACTCCATCTCCCTCCCCTTCCCTTCCCTCCTCCGTCTTGAAGCAGCCCTCACCCGCCCGAACTACACCAGTTTCTTTAGCCCACCCGACTTTCGCTTTCTTCTTCTTCTTCCCAGACGGCACTGCAAACCCTACTCCTGTCTCTCTCTGTTTCCTTCCCCACTGAAACTTCGTAGGCGAGATGTCCACCTTAGAAATTGAAGCTCGAGAGTACGTTTTCTTCTCAAATTGCTCGATTTTTTTTTCTTCACTTTAACGTTGTATTGCGCACACGTAAATCCTATGTTTATGTTTTTCTAGGGCGCAATATTCAAACTCTAGTGTTATTTTCTGGGCAGACAAATGGGGGAGTAGAGCATAGCAGGGTTAAGTTAGGGATATGTTGGCTTTCGGTAACAGGGGTAGAGACATGTCTGCTAAAGATTTAGTGAGACTACAACGTTGTACTGTTTGAGTGTACTAGAAAATTCGATGTCGTAAATCTGGTTTGTTTTTCTCCCTTTTCAGTGTCATCAAGATTGTGCTTCAATTTTGCAAAGAGAATTCTTTGCACCAAACGTTTCAAACATTGCAGAGTGAGTGCCAGGTATCTTTGAACACTGTCGACAGTGTTGAGACATTTGTTTCTGACATAAATAGTGGAAGGTGGGATGCAATTTTGCCTCAAGTGGCTCAACTTAAGCTTCCAAGGAACAAATTGGAGGATTTGTACGAGCAGGTGTGTAACAGCACTTACCTTTTTATATGTATATTTCAAGCCTGGTTTTAGTCCTTTCACTTTCCGATGTTTACACAACTGTTCAACTTTTGCTGCTGTGACATATGAACAATGTTGCTTTGCATATTCTTCAACTTAGAAGCTCAGTCATGATATATAATGCTTGATATCGGCGTTATTTCTTTTGAATATGATTCATGTAGGGCTAATCTTTTTTGTCTGTGTGTGTTTATATACTTTCTAATATATTTATGGTTTATGAGGGTGAGCCTTGGTGCAATGGAATGGTTGTTCCTTTGTGACCAAAATGTCATGGGTTCGAGTCATGGAAATAGTCTCTTTGCAAAGCAAAGGTAAGGTTGTATACGATAGATGTTCCTCCCCCCACCCTTAGAAAGCGGGGAGCCTTGTTGGCTTGGGGTCGCCTTCTTATACATTATGTTTTATGTCTGATGTGTCAATACTATATGAGAGAACTTCTCCTTGTAGGATGCATTATATTGCTACCGAGATTAGAGTGATCAAAGGCTCAAAGTGTAGGATATAAGCGACAATGCACGTTTTGTTTAGTTGTAGAGAAAAGAGAGTATATATCTGATATAGGAAAGTGTTTCAAGTGTCACTTCCCATGTATAAAGGTGTATTAGTGAGGAAATAGTTATGATCCATTTGAGAAGAGAAAGTAGCTTAAGGTATTCTGAAGTCAGCAATAGAATTGTATTGATAGTGTAGGGTGGAAACATATTCTGTTTAATTTGAAATATTGAATATGAAAATTGTCCCAACAAAAATGTGTGCACGCATAGAAACATACCAAACCAAGCCATTGTCTAGATGCTCAAATAACATTGTCAAGTTCTTATTTCTAGAACCCTTTGCATGACAGATGGATCAGATCAGTAGTGATGTAAGACGAGCCAACAATTTTAAAATTTCTACTACTGTTGGGACAAGTAGCGTCTAATTCTGTTGGTTATAAACAGCTTCATTGTCATGAGAATGAATGACACTAAGGGAATTCAGATCATTTTCCATAAACCAAAGTTGTGTTTGTACTTGTTTTATTTGTTCATAGTGGGGTTGATACTTTTTTCTCCTATATCAGCGCTGTCTTTTTACTTCCTACATATGGATTTTTCAGTTGGTGTTAATATGGGTTGCAGAGTTGTGTCTTCTTTAGCCCTAAATGTTAGTATGATCGCTGTGATACCTCTGCCAGGTTCAGTTTGCTACTTCGCTTTACTTCTGTGAAAGTTAAATTGAATGGACTGACAATGAAGTAATTTTTGTATGTTTTCTTCTGCTCATGGTATGATCTTTCCTTTCTTATGAATCGTGTAGATTGTACTGGAAATGATTGAACTTCGAGAATTGGATACTGCTCGTGCTATCTTAAGACAGACTCAGGTAATGGGTGTAGTGAAGCAAGAACAACCTGAAAGATTCTTGCGACTTGAGCACCTCCTTGTCAGAACATATTTTGATCCAAATGAGGTATGAAAATAGCTTTGGTATAATCATATGACTCATTAGTTACTGTATTATTGGTCATAGTAAGAAAAAATTTCTACTTTTCTTTCTTTATTGCGGTCTACTATGGGAATTTATGCCATGAATTCCTACCAAAAACATGTTAGTCAGTTGAAGGTTCCCAAACACCTGATGGTCCCAAAAACCTGAAGATCACAAACACCTGAAGGTTGCAAAGCTGAAGGTCTCAAACAACATTCAGCACTCCAGAACTAATGATGCACCACATTATTGGTCTCTGTAATGCCATCAAATTAGATTTTTTGCTTCTAGCTCATTCCACTGTCTTGGAGTATGTTGTGCTTTCACTTCAATCAGTATGATGCTTTATCAGAAACTTAAAGGTTTGTTATCTATAACAGGCTTATCAAGAGTCAACCAAAGAAAAGCGGCGTGCTCAAATTGCTCAAGGTTTCACTCCATCTCTCTTCTATAATTGAACTTTTTATTATTTCCAGTAGGTTTTTAATCTCAATGAATACATCAGGTATTCTCTTCTCTATCATTAGAGATAAAATTTATCACTGAAGGAACATAATTACCAGACAAAAAAAAAAAAAAACTGCACAATTTGGATTGGCTTCAATCTTCAGAAAACGGTTCAATTCATAGTTTGGGGAGAAAAAGTTTGATATGCTTGCCGTCTGAAGACTTCTAGGAACTGAAATATGCTCGTATGGTCATACAATGGCATAATGCATAAGAAAAGCAAAGATTTCTTGTTACTGAATTTCTGTTCAGCATTTCCTTTGGATTATTTTTTATTGTTCCTGTTTATAGATTTAGACCAGGCCCTAGGTATGGAGAGTTTAAATGTGAGATACAGTCAGAGGTGTCAGACTTTGAAATCTGACAAAAAATGTAGATAGCAAAGGAAAAAATCTTAGTAGTTGTTATTGAATTTTATTCTTTGAAATTTCTGTTGTCTTTGACGACTTCTATTTTCTTTTGAATTTCTCAGCACTTGCTGCGGAAGTTACCGTGGTGCCACCATCAAGATTGACGGCTTTAATTGGTCAGGCTCTAAAGTGGCAGCAACACCAAGGTGAACTTTTGCATCTGTTATTTTGTTTTGTTGGTTATTTGGTATGAGGTTCTCTTTGAAAATTATCCTCTTGTGGATATGTTGCATACCATTCATTTGTCCTTTACTATTTTTCCCTCCCTCCCTTCTATTTTCTTCCTTACCATAGATGGGTACTTTTTATTTGTTATAGATACCCTTTATGGCTGTAAAATTCATATTCAATTTTATGCATGGTGAATTTTTCGTGCCTCTGAAACCAAGTTTTATCTGTTCACAAGAAGTTTTATCCGTATATGTTAGGTGAGGAAACAGAGATTTTTGTTGTCGATCTAGGTTCGGCATTTTGCCATTCCATGGAATAGAAATCCCAGCTGCATGAATCAGATGGAATCCCACATATATATCCATGTAATATATACGTTGTAGGATGGTACTTTTCAATATTACATTCCTTAGAAGTATGGAATAGAAATCCCAGCCTCCCATCTGTAATTCTATTCCACCTAGTCAAAGGAGTTGATTCCAGTTAGTTCCATAACTCTATTTCTATTCCAAGCTAACTAAACATCCAATTTTGATGGAAAAGGAAACAAATTCCTATTCCTACTGCCAAACAAACGAGGCTTAAGTTATCAGTCTTCTATTGAAGCAGTGGACTTCTGGTTCACTTCATATTGGTTCTTTCTCTATCAATATATTCTAATTAGATTCCCTTTTTTATAACAGGAATGGTCACTTATGTGGTTAAGTTTTTTTTTTTTTTTTTATTATCCAGGATTGCTTCCCCCAGGAACACAGTTTGACTTATTTCGAGGAACAGCTGCTATGAAACAAGATGTGGATGACTTGTATCCAACAACTCTTTCACACACAATAAAGGCAAGGAATTTATATGTAGCTAACTAGCTATATATCATTTTGATACATTGTTCAGTATGCTTTATTGGTTTGGGGTTCAGGGTTCTTAATGCTGGATACTGAACTTCGTTTTAAATCAGAATTTAGGAACTGAG